GTGATATTCTTGTGCGGTTATACCCGGCGTGAGTTCACCGGCTGCGAGGACATGAGGGTGTGTTTCGTGGACAGGTTGGCCAAAGAGGAGCTCGGAGGCAGAGACGGATGTGTGATAGGTACGCGCAGATCTTGGTCTACATCTTAAGGCTGTACACCTGAGGGACGTATTCGAGAATCGTGGGGTGGAGGATATTGTTGTTGTTGATATGGATCGTGAGCATTGTAACTTTGGGGAGGAGGGCTTCGAGTGTGGTTTAAGATAGCGCTCAAGTTGCCATAATTGCTGTTGACGAAACTTCATCTTTCGAATCCTTGAATATTTTGTTGTAATTGTAACCAATTGCATCATCGGAATTACTTGAGTATTACCCAAAGGGGTAATATGAGAATATTAAAGTTCAATTATTCCTGCACTAGGATAAAACCTTGGCTTTTAGAAAGATGCCGCTTTTCTATATGCTAGATATGTATCTAGGGGGTGGAATTTACTTGGTGCACCTTATCCTAGGTTAGGTAGTCTTGATGTTGTAATTCGGAAAGTTTTTGAGGCGCATCAAAATGAAATGCCTATCAAAGGATCGGAAGGTTTTTGGAGCAATCAGAAGGCGTTGATTACCTAAATTCTAACTGGCTCTGTTGCCTTTAGGTATTGTACCTATGTAGCCTGGCAGGACTGGCAGTCGGTGGTTCATGGCGGGGGAGCTAGTGGGGCTAGCTGAAAAGATGTATGTAAATAATACACACTAACAAACCTAAATTACCTACATAGGTACATAGTACGGTTGCTGTGCAAATCTATAGTGGGGGCTAACAGTGATGTCAAATGGCCCGTGCACAGCTCTTATTGTTGATTCGTAAATTGTTAGTGCTAGCGCGGAACTACCAGTCACGCCTCAAAAAGCTTAGAACTGAATTTCACCTACGGAATTGCCCACTACCAAGCCAGAGCTTTCTAACTTGAGACTCAACTTCAACACTCATACTCGTAGGATCACTGGTCATTTTCGCGTCTCTTAATTCACCCAATTTTCCAAGATCATTTAATTTTCTTCAATCCGCCTCAATGACCTCCTAACGTCCAAGGGTTTGTCGTGTTGTGCTCATCGAATCCACCGTGTTGTTCCACGGTTCGTCGCGTGGGAACTCTCGGACTAAAAAAATAAATGCTTTAGCACATATCTTTGGCATAACTAAAAGAACAACCGCCATTCTAGGTCGAACTGGATCAAAGCAAAGAACGAGTTCAGCTTTTATTATTCCCGGTCTGGATTCTAACTTTGTCGTTGTTAAGCCCAATATCCCAACGAACCCTAGGACAATTCGACCATCGCCATCGCCATCGCCATCGCCAATAATAACATTGTGTTTATTGATCAGCACAGTCCTGACAGCACAGTCCTGACATAACCCAACCTGTTTGACTTTTGTCAAATCCCTCAACATTGACTAGTCGATATTTATATGGCAGCCGTATCTTTATCACCCACGCCTGTGCCTCGATCCATCATGTCTAGCAGACGAGTTCCTTTGTCTACGAACCAAAATGTGGCCAATTCCCCTTTGCGCAGCACCACTCTCGCCAAACAAAAACGCACTGTGGCTCAGATACAGCGGGAAGAACAATACGGCCAACCACCTCCGGCCAAAAAGCAAATTGTCGAGGGTGGTTCCCAACGCTTACTTCCATCCCAGCAGCAGCGGGTTTCTAAGAGTCAAATCCCCATACAGATACGTCGCAACGCAAACACCTACGAGAGCAAGTTGGCCAGGGAGAGGGCAGGTCATTCTCACCATCAACGCCCCCAACAACCGGCACCTGCTTCTCTTGGATATACAGAGAAGGATATCGAGGAGATTCAAATATGGCAGCAGCACCACCGAGCTAGATTCCCTAAGCTTGTTTTCTACTTCGAGAAGGTCCCTAACGATGCCCATAAAAAGCTCGCAAAGCAGATTGCTGCTTTAGGTGCTGTAAGTAGACAGAGTGTTTCTATGTTAGATGCTTCGGGTTGCTTACATTGCTTTTATACAGCGTGAGGCAGCCTTTTTCTCCATCGACATCACACATGTTGTAACAACCCGGCCTATTCCCTCTGAGAAGAGCGTAATCCGTCAAGAAGAGGACGCAACTACCGAAAAGCACCAGGACCACATACATGAGCAGGAACAAGAACAGGACCAGGAACAAGAGGAGGTCAAGACCATCAATCCTTCATTACTAACCCGGCTGTCAGAGGCCTCTACTAAACGAAGAGCTTTTGATAGAGATGCCCGAACACAGAGAATATCGTCGCATGTTCAAGCCGGCTCAAATCAACCCAAGCGTAGCGCAGATGTCTTGCTGCGTGCTAGGGAGATGGGGAAAAAGATATGGTCTTTAGATAAGTTACAACGAATGATGGCTTTACTCCTTGAGACCGATCCATACGTTAGCGTGGAGATTGCGTATGGAGCTCGCAGAGCAAGAGAACCCGAACCGAGGACTACCGAGGACCGTAACCTACTACATCTTCTCCACAATGAGCGAGTTAACGGACCATCTGACCGAGATCCAGCCGCGAATGGTCAGGAGCTGCATTACTTTAAGGGTCCATACATATATGTCTATGACGCCGAGGAGAAGCAAAAACCTATCATGGTCAGAGAGTATAAGAAGGTTGCCGAGAAGGCAAAGGGCGACTGGCCCCAGTTCCGTACTGCTGCATTGGGGCGATGTCCGTTTATTAACGAGCATGAACCGAGAGATCCCCGACCCGAGCCCAAGCCGAAAGTCCAGGTGACCAGAGCCGCCACCGAGACGAAACCTACTCCTCCATCCTTCAAGATGGAACCTCCGAAGCCTGTGACTGGAAAGCGGTCGTTGTGTGAGATGGAAAATGGCCATTCCCGTGGTTCTAGTGTCGCCTCCATGGACCTGTCCAACTCATCTAGGTTACCTGCCGGCCATATTGCTGAATCACGCTCTAATGCGTTCACCGGTCGTGCTCCTAGCCGTCTCTTTGGTGGCGAGCCGGTTGCATCCGGAGTCCAACCTTCAAACGTAACGTCAGCAATTCGATCCCAGATGATCTCCTCCACCGCAACAACACCAGGTCTCATAACTGGTCTAAGCAAAGAAGTTCACGGTCTTCAGCGTCAGGTCCTGAAGCGCAACAGTACCGCGACCTCGCAGGATCTGAGTTCTCGCCGGAATGTCGAGATAACCCCGCGAGATGAGGTTCCAGTCAAGCGGACTTTCCCTATGAGCCGTACATCGAGTCGAAAGTTGGATTTTGTTGATGAAGACGCTACCGATAAAGACTCCCAAGAAGGATCCAAGCCGAAGTTTGTTCCGCGCTCAGTAAAGCGAGAATCGTCGCAGTCAAAGAAAAGCGAGCTCAAACCAGGTTATTGTGAGAACTGCGCAGATAAATACGCTGATTTTGACGAGGTATGCTTATTTTCTAAATGTAAATAGTTTTAATGCGTTGGATACCTACTAACTGTTTGTGTAGCACATCCTGTCCAAGAAGCATCGCAAATTTGCTGACGATAATCGCAACTGGGTTGACTTGGATGACCTCCTTGTTCAGCTCCAGCGTATGCCAAAGCGCAAATCTTTCTCGTCTTGGGCCCCTTCTCTCCAAGAATACGACGAGGTCTACTAGTTTGCCCCAACCCAAGCTCACTCAGATCTGCCAGCACACGCAGATTTACCCCCGATACTCCGCAGTTCTACAAGCTATGCTTACCAGCCGGTCATTCACAACTACGAATACACCATACTTTGACCCTACTTCTAATTTTGGACTGTCTTTTCTACGGCATTCGTGGTGCGATGATACCCCATTTTGACCCTTACTCGGCTAGAACGATGGAGCCTGGTACGCCTTTCCATATGTTCCGTGGAAAGGACATGACATGGCATGGAATGGAGTCTTCGCATTTAATTCTTTTCGCATCCACTCGTCAGGCATCTCTATATTATGCATTTTTGGCGAAGGGGTGGCATTGTTTTCTATTTCATCAAAAATATTCAGTTGGCCTAGCGGCTCATACGCCAGCCTTCACGGGTGTCTAGGGGTTCCGGTGTGGACGGTGCTTGACGGTAAACCTGACTGGCGGCTGGAACGACATTAAAAACGATAGTATTCGACATTAACGAAGCGAACGGTGTAAATATGGTCACTAGGTCGTGTATATATAGGTAGTAGTCTATAAGACGCGGAATTGTGCAAATCTAAGTTTTTCTAATATCTTCTAGTCGGTCAGCTTGGCAAGCCCTTGACTTAATTCCCCCTTAACTACGACGATGATGACTTAATTGCAGTAGACCCCCAAATCATTATTGTTCCTTTCTAAAGAAAATTTAAAACCACATATTCAACAGATATAACTATTGCATATTAATGAGCCCCATTTCAAATTTCGATTGTCATGGATATAGTACTATTAGAACTCAAGGTCCCTTGTGTCTGTCTGCAAATACGAGAGGGACACTGGGCCCTTCAGAACTTATCTAACCTAGATAGACATGGGATCGATTTCACTACGTTAGGGCTCGGCACGTCGGACTCCCTGGCGGAATTCTAGTTCGCAATGCATCTCCAGAACTGGTTTTATTTTTGTTTAATCAGGGTTATCAATTAGGCTAGGTTCACTTTCATCCCTCCGACTAAGTGATAGAAGAACGAGGAAATCAGATTATTTCATACGCAAAGCTGGAGCAGTATATCTGGTATCGGTGTGGTGCAGATCATAAAATTATAGAAAAGGAATGGGTTACGGCCAGAGCCGAGTTTTGCGAACTACTGTATATCGTCAATAAGGTGATGGTGTATCATGGCTCTTGTGGATTATTTGGTCTTCAATTACAACCATATTTTTGACATCCCAACGGAGACCATGACTACAAATAGGTGGGCACGCTCTCCGACTATGGATCGCCTATTGTTCTGCTTTACTATGCGACCCTAGGACAAACGAGATTGGGTAATAAAGACCATTCGAGATGTACCGATGTGGCATGTGAAGCTAATCAGGTCGAAAAGAGTCGAACAAACAGAACAAGTCTGCGCTATCAGAATGCAAGAGTTCTATCTGGCTTTACAGGAAATTGGAGGTGATGTGCTGCTCTGGAATGTCCCCGGACTTCAAGATCCTGGGTTCTCTTGGGCTCCGCGTTCGTTTATGAACTTGGGATATAAGCAAGCATATAGCCGGCCCGCAACGATTACTAAGGGCGGGCTCTTTATACATCTAGAAGGGGTATCCTTAGGAAGCCTCAGCCTAGCTGACTTGTTTGCTAAACCAGTCGTCCATGTGGATACAGATCTTAGACAAATATTTCTCGGGCCTGATAAGACATTCTATAGGCATCCTCCGGACTTTGAGCCTACGAAATCTCGTGAGTTTGAGCTCGTTATCGCTAACTATCTCACTCGAAAAGCTTTTGTTGAGGATATTGTTAAAAGGAGAGGTCCTCCCAAGCTCATAGGCTATATCGTATATGCAGAACTTATTGATAGAGTAATCGATGAGGATTACGTGTGTATCAAAGGTGTTATGAATGGAGGAGAGAAGTTCCAACAATAACGGGATTATGTATATACATGCCCGGACTAGACTCTTGAACTAGTCTAGCATTTAGTTAGAATAATGCCTCGTGCCCAACTGTTGTCTTATTGGGTGCTCGGATTTTGTCCCACTGGCTGACTGCCCAGTTATCAATATCCACATCTATCCCATTATTGTCATGGCATCTTATGAACAATCCGAATTGGTGTAGTGGCTAACATTCGACGCTCTCATCATACAACCCATGATCCGTTAAGCCCGAGGTTCGATTCCCTGATTAGGAGATCGATTTGGCATCATCTTGTGAACAATTATTTTCACTATTATCTTTTTTCCCATCTGTCAATGCGGTGCAACATAACACCTGTTTATCTTTTCTGCATATGTGCTCACGTTTAAGGGTTTTTTGGGGGGAATAAAGCTAATTAATATCTGGATATTTCTTATTTAATAAGGGGTTAGGCCAGCGCGGAGAGCGGGGGAATCGGGGATGTTTAAAAGGTAGATATTTCCAACAAGACTATATGCATATAGTTCCGGAATCTGACGAAGACTCCGCATCTCCTTATGATTAGTATATTCCCGTAATGTATTCTGCGTAAGTTGGCAGTGGCAGATTGGAATGCGAAATAGAATAATGCCTTGGCTATCTTACCCGCGGCGAAGCTACCCCCGATCCAACATGTATATCCAACATCTCTCTCGGTGCCGAAGCGAATCAATACTCGATGTAACTGAGGAGATTCACCCGCAATCCAGACGTCCGTGCAACCTGAATGCTTCTTTTTCTTGAGTAACCTCGAATCTACTTAGTCTATCAATGGAGGGCACAATTGGGACTTGCTATCTAGGTACCTAATATAGTCTTATTTGTAAATATTTCCACCCATTACTGTGCTGTTTAAGCTCTTTCGTGTATTGATATATAGTGACAAACACTCTATGATATTATGTCTTTTAATGCGTTATATCCGATGCTGACGTTGCATGTAGCAGCATATGTCTCCTATGATGACCCAGATCGTGATACTACTCGGTACGGGACGGCTGGACAGTCTTTACTTAGTAGTAATTTCCATTTCATTATATCACCACTCCACTACATCATCAGATTTATCTGTCACGCATGTGACCGTATATACGGAACCTTCCTGATTCTACGATGGATTGGTTGGTACACAACAAGATAGGGTGACCGGAATAACACTCAAGTATGTGATAATGCCGTCAATTTCTTGGTATGCTACCTTTTGCTGCATGGAGGCTCCAATACGGGAAAGTTAATGAAAACCCAGCTCAGAATGTTCAGAAATTATCTATTCTATGCATGTATAGTAATGGTACATCATCCAGGGGATAAATACCTGCATACCTGTGGTATATATTACTTCGATATCGCTGTGCATAAAGATACTGTAACCTTGACTGAGGGGGTCTGACAGCACATTATAAATATGTCGGTACGCGTCTTACTGAGGGCCAAAACGAATAGACCTTACACCTTTTTACATATCATATTTTATTGCGAACATTAAAATGGGTGATAGCTGTAACCTGGTAGTAGACAGGCTTGATACCTTTACGGTTGCTGATTTCGAAGACCATGAGGCAGAAAGACTGGAGTTGCTATCAAGTGCCCGCAAGCTAGTTAGGAGATTGGAAACCAAGGAAGAAATACTCTTCAATATCAATTTTCGGAACCCGGCCGAGTATGCAGCACTGAAAATATGCCTAGATCTTGGTATCTGGCACCAGTGGACGGCGGTGGGTGGTGGTGAAAAGACCGTTGAAGAACTAAACAAGTTGGCTATGAAAGACTGCGATCTGAACTTGCTCCGTAAGTACCTAACCTATCTGATATATGCATATATCGTTTTTTCTTGACTGCGGACTAAAACTGGCCTGAAAGGCCGTCTACTGCGACTTTTAGGGGCCACGTACATTATTGAGGAAACAGGAGAAGATCGATATAAACCAACTAGCTTCTCACTTTCAATCGGTGATGAATCCACTACTATTGCCCAAGGAATTCTTGCCATGTGAGTTTGTGTTCTTATGGAAAAACTGTGCGGCTGCTCACTTTTTGTAGGGCCTATCACTGGAATGCCTCTTCTATGAATTTGCCGTCGTTTCTAGCAAAGACGTCGTATCGAGAACCATTAGATCCGAAGTATAATAACTATGTTGACGCCTTTCCGGAACAATTATCATTCTTTGACAGATGTCTTTCTAATCAAAGCTACCAGGATAGCTTCAGTGGCTATATGGAGACGTGGTCAAATTACAGGTTTTTGTGGCCTGATTTCTATGATACGACTTCTCTTGTCGCCGGCGCTGATCTCACTTCTGATGCACCACTAGTTGTTGATATGGGGGGCCACCATGGCCATGATATTCTTACATTCCTGAAGAAACACCCAGATGTGCCAGCCGGTTCTCTGGTTATCCAAGACCTTGAAGCTGTCCTCGCGGATGCAAATCTCGGCACAGATAAGGTTAAGCTCATGCCACACAGCTTCTTCGAGCCCCAACCTATTTATGGTAAGTCTGTATCTTGTTAAAATTGTATCAATCGGTATGAAACTGTAGAACTAGGAGTTAATATATGACGTGTGAAACAGGGAGTCGCGCGTACTTTCTTCGCGGGGTCTTCCACGACTGGGCATACGAGCCATCGCTTCAAATCCTCCAGAATATCGTACCGGCGATGAAGAAGGGATATTCCAAGCTCCTCATCTGCGACGTTGTAATTCCACCGAAGGGTGCGAGCGTTTACCAAGCGGGTATGGATTTGAATATGATGGCGCTCCTTTCGGCTTATGAAAGGACGGAAGCCATGTGGAGGGAGTTGATAAACGATGCTGGATATAAGATAAACAAGATTTGGATGGACCCCAGAGGATACGAGGGGCTGATCGAAGCAGAATTGGCATAGATGGGCGGACGGACGGATTGCTAGGGGGGTTACGTACCTAGATATTTGGATCATAACCATTTTGTATTTTCAACAAAACAAAGGGGGATCAGGTCATTTTGTTTGATTGGCCTACGGCTGGATGGTAAGCAAGTTTGATTGGGTTCGATATTACATGAGTGAAATAATAAATCAAACAAATATTGGAAGACCGCTCGATATTGATATTGATATTTAATACGGAAGTTGAAGCGGGTAAGAAATAAGAGATGAGAGCACCTGCACTTAACAGCCTGCCCTGGAGCTTACCTGTAGGTTACCTAGGTACCTAGGTAGGTAGGGACATTGTACTAACCTAGCACTTAGGGATCCAGTTAGTACGTAAGCCACAATATTTCTAAAAATGTGGCTTGCTGAATGTGGAGAATTACTGAGTCCTACCTATTAGAACTCTTCGGAAACTCCAGAGTCAGGAACAATCAATTTCATCATTCATTTTCGTATGATTGCATGTTCCGCAAACCTCAGGGTTTTGATCATTGATTCATCCATACATATAAATAATAAGTTTCTACAATAATCTTCTAGCATATATATAATACAAGATGGAGTTCCCTGATGTTCCCGAACAGCCCTCTCCATCACCTCCAGCTTCTCCCATTCCGGATCGACCTGCATCACCTGAACTCCCACTTACTATGACTGCGTCAGCTGTTCTCACGGCCCTTCCTCAAGATGCAAGCTCGGCTCTCGCTAGCGCTGGTAAATTTGAAAAGGAGAAAGTTCGCATTCGTTTCAAGGCTGTCGGAGGGTCTGCTCCGCAGCTCAAGCGTGAAGTGCGCCAGATAAGCGCTGCGCAAAAGTTCGAGGCTGTCGTGTCTCACCTACGCAAGGCGCTGCATCTCAATCCTACCGATAGTCTATTTCTCTATGTGAATAGTGTCTTTGCCCCCGCTCTGGATGAGATCGTCGGCAACTTACATCGAGTATGTGTTATTATCTCATTATACTTGCTACTAGAATACTGACTTCCTTAATAGTGTTTTAAGGATTCAAACGACCAGTTGATTGTGGCTTATTCAATGACTCCTGCATTTGGATGAGATGGGGGATTGCTACAATCATGACGTCTCAATTATACTCCTTAAACGCCCATCTATGCTGACACTGTTAAACCAAACTGGATGGTCGCGCCTTTGACCCTCTATCAGTCTATGGTATAATGCAGAATCCAACTAAGCGATTGATATCGCGTCATAGCTTCTCAATATCTCTCATGAACGCCTCGAGCTCACCGGGAGAAATAGGATATGTATGTTCTGGAGCTGGGTATTGGCGGGTTTTCACCTCCTCCCGATAAGACTCGATCGCTCTAAGGCTTTCAGCCCACACATTACCATACTGTTTTACGAACCTAGGAATGAAACGACCCGGCGGGAAATTACCGATCATGTCGACCTGGACGAGCACCTGGCCAGAACAACCATTTCCTGCACCGATTCCGATTGTCGGGATGCGTAGCTTCTGTGTGATGATACTTGCGACTTCGGCTGGAACAGCTTCCACTACCATACCGAAGCATCCAGCTTCTTGGACAGCCAACGCGTCCTCGAGGACTTTCATTGCACCTTTTGACGTTTTCCCCTGGACTCTAAATCCACCAAGGGCTCCTTGGCGCTGGGGCGTAAGCCCGATATGGCCTAAGACAGGTATACCGGCTTTGGTTATCTTCGCAATGGTTGGTGCCATCTCTATTCCTCCTTCCAACTTGATACCTTGGACACGGCCCTGTTTGATGAATCGTATGGCTGTTTCTAGTGCTTGCTCCGGCGAGATTTCATACGACCCCATGGGAAGATCCCCGACCTGGTTTGACGTTAGTTTTCTGTATCAATCAAACTTGGCATGTGGACTCACTGTGAAAGCTGCTTTGGTGGCACGTGCGACAGATCGACAGTGTAGCAACATATCTTCAACTGTTACTTCACTAGTATCTTCCATCCCTAAAGCGACCATCGCTAGGCTATCTCCGACAAGCACTACGTCCATTCCAGCAGCATCTGCGACATGTGCACTTGGAAAATCATGGGCAGTCATGACCGTGATAGGTTCCCCCTTTTTATACATGGATTGAAGAGTTCCTATGGTTACCTTTTTTCTTGAAGGATCTAACCCTATGCCTAGAGGAGAGTGGGAGCTCCATCTTTGTTGGTGAAATATTTGTTGTTGCCATAATGAGGGTGATTGTCTAGCACTAGCGACGGCAGTGTTTGGTGATGATATCGCTCGACATGGTAGTAAAGCACGTGACCTAGATAGAATGTGCGCCATTTGTTAGGAATTGATTAGAGCGAATGCGATTTGATGAAATGTGTATTCTTAGTATATATGACTATTGAAGTTGAAACGGAGAGAAACGAATAGTGAACTGGTGCTGGTGTATCAGGTGACCTTGATCCTGATCATGTGATCATATTTTTAGTATAAGTACCATTTATGGTCGCACACACCCATTTTACATAGTATCATCCACTTTTAATACAAGTCATTCCTTTTCATCATCAGTTTCATCATCTAAAAGTCCTTGATACCAGGTCTAATAGGGCTTGATCCAAGGCCAAGACGTCTAAGTCTTGTTCAATAGTGGCCATGACCTAGAACTGACCGCGGTTTTATCTTTTGGTCATGATGGTTTTTGCTGCGTATAATTGAGTCTTATCGAAGCTTCTTTGGTGTTTTTCTGTCTAAGTCCACCAACGCTTACCGAGGCTTCGGTTAAATATCGGTTCGACTTTTACCCCTTTCATTGTCTTCAAGCTCAACAAAACTTAAATGGAACGAACGGTTGACTGAATTAAAAGGTTATGAGACTTTTACCTACAATTTAGAGTATCCGGCGGCGCCGATAATTATTGTCCATCCCCAAACTAGCCACCTATCTTCAACGTGTTTCTAATACATACCTACATAGTAAGAGTGAAGCGAGACTTGGAATGAAAGTGGGGGCAATACTGCGGCCTCCTCGACGTTGATTCTAACTGCTTGCTCTCTGTTGACGCAGTACCTTGCGCCTGGGGTAGTATTACCTCGCTCTTGGAGGTCGAGGGTAAATCCATGACGATTAAGTAAGTCGAGCGTACGTAGCTGGGCAACTAAAGATCGGCTCTTATCTGAACGAACAAGAGACTTGCCAATTATGCGGAAGAATATATTCTGCGCAGCCAATTCTAGAGCTAGCACCACCTCGGTGGGACCTCCTCTATCTAGCTAATATATCTGTATAAGTCGGATTTATTTGAATAAGCCGGAATCGCTCCTAATGTGACCGGCTTACGGGACCAATCAAATTGGGGAGTGAACTATTAATATCTCGCGCTACCGGGGACCTTACGGCGTCGGATTCCGGGTCCGTTCTGGGTCTTACTATAGTGGGGCTAGTTTCCGCTCCGGGTCTATTCGGCGTCTAGATAGAGATCTAACATAATAGTTTTCGAAAACTCAGGTATGGGTCTCATGCTGAACCTCCTGGCTGTACTCTACATCCAATGTATTTTTGATTCTTATGGTATGCGGGCTCTGAACCATCCCAGTTGGAATATCCGATAATGGGATTGATGTAGTTATGCTAGACGTTTGTAGCTCTTGTACGGCCTCAGAGTGTAGAGGATCTTCGGTAGGACCGTGTACAGCTGTTACTGGCAAGCTATCCTCCTCCTCATAATTAGCTTTGGATCCGAGGATCAATGTCGCCCATGAAGATGGCGTACGCTTCGGCGGCGTAGTTCCGGCTAGATGCTGATACGACGAACTTGATTGTTCGGCATGAGAACTTTTCTTTCGAATTGTTACCCATACCGGCTGCAGGGTTGGTAGACATGCTGTGGTAATTAGCACTTGAATACGGGTTTTGATACTTGGGAAATATGGGAGCGCACCTGAGATGATTACGAAATCAGCTTCAACAGTGGCCCAGATGCTCTGGTTAACGATATTCCAGGATATATCAGCGTCATACTTCTGAGTGACCACAGCAACGAGCCGCATTATAGAAGCGACACAAACGCTACTCTTAGTAAGTACTACAGCCCTTAGGAAGTCAGAAGAATGATGCATAAAAACGTACAAACCGCCTAGAAGGAAGAGAGTTATCACTGCTATTTTTTGACTCTTTGGAACATTAAGGCGGATGACGTATGGCATAGGAAGTGTGAGAATAGGAATGTCGATAAGAATATTTGGAATCGAGATGGCGAAGAGGAACTTTTGATTGTCTACATTGCAAGAAGCTTCGACAGTTTTATCCCATATGCCTCGAGTTGGGATACATTGCAACAGAGTAAGAAAAAACTGCCTTGTCAGGTTTTAGATCTTGCTGTTTAAATCAGGAACATACTACTGCTAGACCCCACATCAAAACCGCCGCTGTGAGAATGGTTATTGCGAGCTTGATGCTTGTCAGAGATACCCCTTGATGGGTGTCATACGTATAGTGAATGTTGGAAGCAGCAGCTTCGCTGTTGTATAGTAGCCGTATAGTAATATGAATCTATTAACGCTTGGCCTTCTATCCTCTTGCGAGGACGCGCAGCGCCCCTTATATATCTATTCTACGTAGGTCTATACCCAATTCATACTGGAAGGGTAAGATATGTATCATATGCGAGGTAAACCGAATCAGTCTTTAATTTCATCACCGTACCTAATACGATAATAACCATAATGAAGTATGGCTTTGAGACACGGGAGGGTTAGGTCGGCCTTGATGCATAATGGTCCACAAGTGCCAGCTTCAATTCCACATCTCTATCTTAAACACCCTCACCAAGGACGATGCAGTACTACTTGGATAGATCACATGCGGCCTTTGGCCGCTATATATCATGCATAACCTAGTGAGTTGTAGACCGGTGTAAAATACAGGCGACCTATCATACGATAGAACACTTATATGTACAGGGCCACCGTGTCAGTAGATTTGATACCGGATTGCTGAGTTCTTGTATGCTACGAGTATATACTCGCTCCATATTCCTGTCAATCTTTTTACCGGGTTATCGCTTTCTCATGTTACTTTGGGGTCTATGAAACTTGACCCATCTACAATAATGGTACACCCTGCAGACTGTACTCATTGTTGATGAAGGAAACTGTCAGAAACTAGCAACTAATTTACTCAAAAGTATGCGAACTACTATAATGTAAAAATTAGTTTGAACCATACCCCCCAGGTAGGTATTGAGTAAAAAGAATAGTTGTGGGAGATAGCTAATACAATCGTCTGCCATACTCTTATATAAGAAAATATCCCAAGGTGATAATAGAGATTGGGCTTGACGAGCCGTGTTAATTACTATACTTTCGCTCCGAATATGAAGGGATTTATGTTTTTCTAACAGATTCAGCGCGTGGTATTTAGGCAATGCGTAATACATTCAAGAAGAACCTGGGCAGTGACGGTAAGTTTAAGTTGTCAAGAATAGTAATAATAAAAGAAAGCTACCCAAGTATACTTCTGAACGTATGACCATGTATTGTGGGAGTTACTACGGGATAGTGGGGACGACTGAGTATAATATGTGCATTTAGGGTGACCAACTGGAAGCTATTGAAAGTAGAGATCCGTTTGACGTCTTAGGAACTATAAATAGAATGGCTATGTTGGAGATAACAGGTACTTAAACACTGACAGGTCTTTGGTGAACAGGGGCTGTCGAAATGAGATATACTAACTAGTACAATTCGCCATATAAGTTATAAATGACATCATTTCTACCGAATTTTACTGCTCAGTCCTCGTGGAGATATTTGAGATACACGGCCATCAAATGAAGGGACAACTTCCCCGCTCGACTATTTTGTGCGAAGAAAATAGTTGACAACTACCACGTCAACTAAGTGATTCAATTTAAGCTTACCTGACTTCTTGATTAACATATGAAAGCTATTTTTCCCCGAGAGAAAACAACCGGCGAAGGTCAACGGTATAAATCAAGTTATGTCTTCATCTGAAGTAGAATCGCTCTCAACTTATAAATATCCAACAGAAACCAAAGAGAAATGTACGTATATAATCGGCGATAAATAGCGTACTGAAGTCCTAACATAAGGTACGATAGTGATATATGCGGAGTTGGAAGCGCTTGATATCTCCAAACTGAACCAGCCAGGGGGTAAGCAGGAGCTGGCAGAGCAGGTGTTACGGTTTATTAGCAAAAATGGTACGACGAACTGGAGTCTATGCATATTAACAGCTACTGAAAACCTACTCTAGGTTTCTTTTATGTTATCGGTCATGGATTCTCAGACGAGGAAGTGAGACGACAGTATGCATTATGCGAGGCATTCTTCGATCTACCACTAGCGGAAAAGACCAAGTATCTATGCGACACGGCAAAGGGAGATTTTAGAGGGTATAAACCACAGTCCACAGGGAAGCTGGCTACTCGGGATAACGATGAGCGCTACAATATTCCTAAATTCACACCAGAACACGAGCGGCCACATCCGCAGCTCATCAGAGAACACTGGGAGGAGATACGGGCTTTCTCACTGAAGGTTCATAACGACGTTCTACTTCCCCTCTTACGCCTATTCGCCTATGTCCTCGAGATCGACGAGGATTATCTCATTGAGCGCCACCGCTACGAAGCTGAAGGCTTGGAGTATCTGCGGTACATGAAGTACCACCCCCGCTCGGCGGAAGCGGACGCCCAAATCGGCAACATCTGGGCGAAGGGGCACACAGACTACAACACGTTGACATTTCTCTTCCACCAGCCAATCGCAGGGTTGCAAGTACAGACCCCAGAGGGGGAATGGAAGTATGTTAGGTCGCCAAGGGACGCAATTATCGTAAACATCGCAGACGCGCTTGAATTTCTAAGTGGCGGTTACTTAAAGAGCACCGTACATCGAGTAGTGAGACCCCCAGAGGACCAAGCGGATCGCCCCAGGCTAAGCTTAATCTATTTCGCTCGACCCGAAGCCAACATCCTCCTGAAGCCCGTCGTAAGTCCATTGCTACAGCGACTTGGTCTACAGTCAGAAGCTGAGCATTTCTCACACGATGTTACTGCTGAAGGTAAAGTGTTATCGACAATGGCTCGGTGAATAGTAATAAGATGCTAATTGAGGTTGTAGAATGGGCAAGGGCACGAATTGCCAAAGACCACAGGTTCCGTACCGGGTTGGTTGACCAACGAGAGAAGGAGATCATTGCCGGTGTCAGTCAAAAGTACTACGACTAAGGGCGTGGCTTACCTATCACGTTGCTTAAACACGGGTTAGATATAAGTTGTATTTCAAAGGAGGCGATATGCTGGATATAGTAGCCAAATACATTTGGATTTAGAAAGGGGGGCGACTTATTACAAGATTACCTAGGTACCTAAGTTAATCCATCAACTTATGCGGATCACCCGCAAGCACCTAAAGCTTAAATATCAATAAGTACGAAGTAAGGCAAATATTTTAACTTGAGGCTAAATAAGTCTCACTTCTTTCCGCATGCTAGTTAAACATCTTACATGAGAAGAAATAAGGAACACTGAATTTAATGAGATTCCGTTGTGACGTCATAACCTTATTAAGGTCAGGCCACCAGTGTTGAGCCCCTTGATTGGCTCTTGCGTAGCTGTGACGCCTTCGGTGATGAAGACAAGCTGAGGCTGTGACGTCACACCTCATCTTCGTCTTCGTCTGGGTTAGATATGCATTTGCGTATGTCGGACTTGGAAGACATCATCGCATATATATAATCAATATCGCTCGAATTTAAAAGTACCTAACCTAAGCATATCATTGAAATCACCATCGCCACAATTCAAATTCAGGTACCTACCTACCTCCTATCCACCAATACCACACAACACACCAACAAAACATCTCTCTTCGCAAACATGCCTCTCGAGAAAAAGTCCACCACCCAAGACTCCGGCGTAACCGGCGCCGCCAAGTTCGTTACCAGCACCGTCGGTAACGTCGCCGGAGGCGTAGGCCGAACGGCAGGCGGCGTAGTCGGTGCCGCCACTCGTGGGCTCGGCGACACCATCACAAGCGCAACGGGGTCAGCCGGCAAGCCCGTCGGCGACGCGCTAAGCTCCGTCGGAACTGGCGTTCAGAATGGCGCCGAGAGCGTGTCCAAGGGCATCGAGAACGCGGGTCAATGGAAGCAATAAGTGGGCGTCAACGCAACCACATAACGAAAAACAAAAACAAAAACAACAACAACAACAACGCACAGCAGTTACGCTGCCGGGAAATAAACAAACGTGGAGTAATATGCTGGAAATAGGCGTGTACGATACTGTATAGGTTAGGTAGTTACATGAAGATGGGCTGTATTATTAAGTACACTGATACGGAACGTGCTGGATGAATGCGCCATGAAGACAAATTGAATTTTGATATATAATACCATATATTGCTCATTTATGCCACATCTCCAACGTGATGAAGCGGTCTGCCACGGCCCATGATGAAGAACGTAGAATTCGAATGGAAAATCAACTAACTATTTGATCTCACGAGTAAAATAGTTAAGATGATTCATTGGTCGTATTTATACGTGCATCTTTAATAGGTCATCGGTTAAGTTAGTTACCTATCTACCTGCATTGGACAAGATTCATATCCTGGAATCAATAGTATAGCCAGGTGCCAAATTCGAGAACCGTAATGCAGCCAATCGAATAGGACTATGAAGACGAAGCGATTATTCCACAGGCCTCGTCGTATTAAGCAGCCTATTTCACTCGAACCATGCCGTTTCCGACCCCGAAAAGGGTGTCAACTGTTCGTCTGTACATATGTGCGGCGTCTGATCTTCCGAACATGACATGCGACCGGGCTCAGCGCTATGCCTTTTCTGCGTCGCCGACGAACCAGTCTTCTTCCTCTGCCTTCGGGCCCCGGACATGGATGATTTCCGCGACGATTTGTTCGAAGCCGGTTTACCATCCAGGAGTCCTTGTAGAAGCGCTTGAGATGAATACCTCCTACCTCCTTCTTCTCGCAGTGGTAGTTCGTCCCACGCTCGCGGGAGAGGTAGTACCTTGCGAGAGCTCTCTGATGTCTGATCTAGCAATGGCATGAAACTATAACGACGCAGTTTATCTAAAAGGCCATGGTTCGTACTGGATGCCCAAACTCCAGGGGACTTAAAGCTGCTCTTTCGACGGTGTGAAGACGCGCCGATTGCACGTCCCGTTTTCCTACTCAATTTCTCGGGCTTTTCATCTAGTTTACCAGGCCATTGCACCATGGATTCCCGAAAAGGGGGGTCAGTGGGTGGAACTGGGGTTTGACGTGGTGACTCCTCGAGTATTTCTAAAGGCCTAGAAACATTAATCCCGCAATGTGCATCTACACCACGAGCGTAAAGGTCCGGCATCATTTCTCTCTGTTGTGGCATACCGAATTCATTAAACAGGCCGAGCGGCGTTAACCAGTCGCTAGTACATGATCTCGAGGGAAGCTTCGGGAAACATGTCATCGAACCATCCCGGCAACGATTAGTGGGGATTTTGATATCTCCTAGAGACCTTCTGGGGCTGACTGGTTCGGACACCGATCGCCTTTTACTTTGAAGCTTGGGCTCCTGAACATGGGCTGACTCTTCAATGGTGGAATTAAATTTAGCGCTTGTCCTTCGAATGTCACAGATAGACGGCGAATTTGAAGCGATCAATGATGAGGCGCGCGTAGACACGTTTCGAGAGACCTCCATAGACCCAACGACAGTCGCATAAGGCTCCATGACTGCCTCTCGAACTGGATTTCCCGGGGCAAATCCCTATGTGACCTCGGTAATGCTTTGTCGAGAAATGAACGTAGTTCTAGCCGTGTCAACACAATGACCATGGTAGTCAGAGCAGCTGGATATGCTAAAGGAAGGTTGAACAGAACTGATCGTTGTAGCTGGATCAGCAATACTAGGCGATCCAGGAACAATAAAATTCATGTTGGGTGTAGGCTTTGCCCGTGGTTCTCTAGGTAATAACATCGAGAGACATTCAACTGCCGAACTGTCATTGCGAACACAGCGGATACCAGCAATTACGATATCTAGAATCCCCGCAATATCGTCCGTGGTAACCAGATAGCTCTTAGTCGTCGGTTCGTTAACCTTAGGGTGACCAGTTCCAAAGTTATCCTGGTCAGTCCACAATCTTGATATGGGGGGTAGATTCTCGTCAATGCTTGTTGGCCTCTCCGTTAAAAATGAGCAACCACTATGCCCTCTATTAGATAAGTAAGCTCGTATATTGCAAACAATGGTGTCTGCTGCCTGTCTATCAATGCTAATTGGACTATCGAGCATAGTTCCATCTAATTCTGAACGAGGGGTCTGGGCCCCGGTGTACACTGGACTCTAGCAATCTGTTGCAGTAGGGGATCCAGGGGGTGATACCAATGGCTTCGTATAGCCGTTAGTGTCTACGCTTGAGTCGTTCATCAGTGGTTGAAGTAGTGGAATGCTTTCCGACGTGGCATGGAACGTCCTGTGGAAACGACGACTTATAGACTTTGGACAGAAATGATGACGCCTCGGATTTTGGTGATAGTGTATAGCAAAAGGCGTTGCCACTCGCGGCCTCGATATTTGCTTCGGCCCCGGGATGTGAGGTTCTAGGGGTGATACAGGAGCTGATAGGCCGGGCTGGTAGGTTGAGTTGGGGGACTGCACGGATATTGTGCCGTGGCCCGTCTCATGTAGGTTGTGTGAGGCTATAAGGCTGACATGTCGGCTAGCTATCCGGCTGGAGGGTGCACTATAGAATTGATCGTCGTCTAGGCTGCCGATAGACATGCGACCAACGGTAGAGTAACGAGCCATTGTTTATCCGCCTCTAGTACTTGAGACTATCGCTAAGCATAGAAGTGAGGAGACAATAAACATATTCTGTAGGATAAATTAATGTGAGCTGAATAAAGGTAGATGGGAGAACTCGGATCAGGGGAAGATAGAAAACTGAAGATGCTGTTCTTTAGGGGTAATATATATATATATATATATATGTACCTAATGTTAGGTACTCTTGGATATTTTACATCAGGTTAAGTTACATGTATGTAGGTACTTGCATCGTCCTTGGCTGAATATTCGTAGTTACCTAACTCTAAGAGTATATAGTGATATTACGGGAAGGATTAGACTTGACTAACGAAGCCGAAGTGGAAGTTGGTCGGAGATTAAGAGGTACCTCGACGAGGGGTGAGTGATGAGGATTATGGTAAGAGGTACATAAACTACCTAAGGAATATGCCTAATTCATATGTATATATATATATACCTATGTATTATGTCACCCATGAATGAATTGAGGCCGATCTGATTTGAAATCTTGGTAAGCTTGTCCGGGTATCACTATACGGTATCATTCCGGACGGAGTCATAACGAAATTAATTCCTATTGGATGCGTTGGGTTCCGGTAATTGTTGGCCCTATTATAGATGCTTAATAGCTGGCAGGTAGGATCCCTTAGGGCTAGATGAGAAGATGACATTGGTGAAATAAGCGACAATTATCTACGTGTAGGAGTACATGTAGGTAAGATCCCGGGGTCGTACGTAATCTGGTAATGTACGTAATGTACGTAGTGTACGTAGTGTACGTAGGTAGTGTACCTATGTAGGGGCCAACCGCGACTCACCGTATCAGCCACTCTCCACATCTTCAGTATCACGTATTTAATTGTGGTAGTCCTCCAAAACCTTGGGAATTAGGTACTAGGCCTCAGCCACTCTAGTGCTCTCGGCAGTGGCCGTTTAGTGAGTGATTAGTTCCCTCTATTACTATCGCCCATATCACCCCACACAAGTCCGATGACACGGAACGCACCTGGAATTTCTAGATGATTAGGTATTATCTCAAGTACATAGACGCCAACAACGCGCGACCGAAGTCGCATGTGCCAGCTTAAACCCCTAAGAAAATCCAGGAACCCAGCAGCCCAGCAGCCCAGCAGCCTTAGGCGGTCTACACAGCTCCTGACTGACAGCGTTCCAAATCTCAATCTCGCATGAGACGTGTCACACCACCATTGGGATCACTCTCGTCCATCCCGTGAATGGTCTAGCTCTAATTACCGCCGCGCCGTACAAGGGGAAAAAGAACGTGTGTCAGGAGATTGACGATCAAGCAGGGCCTAACAGAAACATTGCTGAGACGGTGGCAACGGTGGGAGTTTTTATTTAATTTTCTCTCTTCAATTTCGTCTATAATTGTGTCCCCGGGTGGTTGATTTCACTCCGCTCTGCCTATGATTAAACCATTTCGGACTTACACCCATAACCACTACCTACCTACTTACCTAGGTAAATATCAGAAACACAACCAGTAAACGATAAAAGAGGTCTCGGGGTTTTGCTTTTCATCAAAATGTGCATCGTTCTTATCACGACGGCCCATCCGAAATATGCACTTATTGCTCTTGACAATCGGGATGAATACATCCTAAGACCTACTAGCCGGCCACACTGGTGGACCCACCAGCCTTCAGGAGAACAAATACTGTCCGCGCGAGACTTGTACCGTAAAGAGCGAGGGACATGGCTAGGCGTCACTAAAACCGGACGATTCGCCGTGCTGACAAATTATCGGGAGTCGAGCGAAGATGACCCGGACCCGGATCACGCCATCGCCGGGGTCAGGAGCCGAGGTACCATAGTGAGTGCCTGGCTGGGTGCCCCTTCTGGACTTGGCCTGGACGACTTCGTCCATACGATGCTAGAAGGTCGCGCTGCCAAGGGTGTCGGAGGGTTTTCGCTTGTATGCGGTGATTTGAAGCAGAGGACCGAGAAGGGCATTAAGCCGCTCGCGATCATCTCCAATCGGTGGGACCATGTCGGCGAGGTCCCATGGATAGGTGGGGAACGTGGACAAATATATGGCCTAAGCAATGCCGTCTATGTAGAACCTGCCCAATGGGACAAGATCAATATCGGGAAGAAATTGGCCGAGGAGGCAATACAAGAAGCTGTCGACAAGGACCTGAACGAAGAAGAGCTTACCAACCGGCTCTTCAAGGTCCTCGATCATGATACGCTACCCTTGGAGCCAAAAATGAGTTTTCAAGAGCACATGGATGCCCTTCGGCGGTCTGTATTCATTCGCAGCTTCGCAGAAGATCAAGGATGGAAAGACATGGCTGACGCGGCCGATGAGGGGAGGGCAAAAGCAGCATTTGATGCAATCGAAGATGAGAGCGAGCCGGAAGAGCATAGGGATGCGCATGGATATTTTATGAAGGGTGCTTATGGTACTCAAAGACAGACCATTATTCTTTTAGATTGGGAAGGCAATATTACATATAAAGAGCGGGCGTTATGGGATTCTCACGGGAACCCAATTGAAAGGGGAAAGGGGGATGAGACGTTCAAGTTTAAGATAGAAGAATAATGTGATATAGAAAGCAAAACGAGAAATTATTAGACATCTTTGGCACATAGCAACATATCCTAACGCACCCGTATCTGTAGCATCCTCTCTAACTAAAACACTCAAGTAGTTCTCATACCGTTCAGACATAACACACATAACGATCATGTTCATTCTATTATATTCACATCATACCAACTCCGTAGACATTTAACACATTAAGGGCACCGGGCTTCATCCATGAAGACTCTTTTTTCACCAAGTCCTAGTAAGTTCTACAATGCTCTGAGTAACTCCCACTCGTAATAATACCGTATTACCAACCACCTTTCCTTCTCTATTTTATAGCACATAGAAGACCAAAATAACAGGATGCGTTCTTACATTGCCGTACGGGATATCTAAACGGACATTTATGGTTAAAGAAAAACTGTTGATTATTCTTATTGGTAGAAGTGATCTGAGTGCCCCCAGCCATAGATTCAGGGGTCGATGAAGGCTTGCAAGTCATAGACATGGTCAAGTGAGGCATTGATGGAAGCGTCAACTGGCAGACACTGTATATTTCCAATAAGGAAAGAGTCATCTTCAAAATGTTGACGACATAATCAAAGAAGGGGTACCTTGAGGAGGTGCTAGAGATGTAGAAGCTGCGGCCACCTTGGTGACTCTTGTCAGAATCTCTTTACAGGTCTATCTCGAAAATAAACGGAGCCTTTTAAGCTAAAACCTGATCATATCACAATCTCTTAGGTTGCTATGCGTTTCGTTTACATGTCCTGACACCATATCTCGCGAGCAACAGGCTTCTATTTTGGATTTTCTCTTGCAACACATCATAACACAGCACAGCACAACAGAACCAGTTCTTAGTGTTCCTTGGTTAGATACCTGTCCATGGCAGCTCAACATCATCAGAGACAGGGACATCCAGAACCATATCTTACTACTTTGATCTTGATTCGAGAATCCCTATCTCTTCTGTATGACCTCGTCGAAGGAACTGTGGTTTGCCTCATCACGCTCAGCTCGGTGCATCTTAACATAGTCTTTACACTAATCACCGTCTGGACGGAATTCATCATATTTCTCCACCTCGAAAAAGCCCATCAGTTATATATGACCGTTAGAGGAATACTGGAATCATGTTTCCGCATTCTCGAGATCCTCATCTTACTATGGACGCGCGGCGCCAACAGGAACTTCCTGGAGCAATTAAACCTGGGGCCGATACACGCATAGGAGGGGACATTCGTGGAGCATTATGCAGTCGAGGAAGCTCTCAACGAGGTAGAGGAAGAGGCGGTAGGCCTGGTATTAGTCGAACGAGCCAGTTACCACTAAGCACGAGCGCTGCCGTACTTGGGCGTACTCGTCAAGCAACAGTATCGCCGTGGAATACTCAGCAATCAGGTATTTCGTCACCGATTGACACAAGTTATCAGAACTATTCCTCCGGATCTATATCATCTCGAAAGCTGTCGGCAGGTTTCACGACTAATGGACCGCCATCCAGCCAACCCACTACGGGATATTCAACTGTAACTGCATCTACAACCCCCCAGACTTCTACAAGCAATCACCCAGGTCCATTAACCAGTCATCCTACTACTGCGTATTCGTCTATGGTCGCATCTGGATCCCGAGGTAGTTTTGACAGATACGCACCAGGACCCCTAAGACAATCGCAGACAACTGGCAATCTGCCTCCCCCATCAGCCTACACACAGCAGAAAGGTGGGCTACAAACTTCAAGAACGCTTCTCCCGGTACCTGAGTCGTCCGGAGCAACCACTTCCTCTTCTGTTACCGCATCTACGTCTGGGGTCATTCCACGTTTCGGGGCAGAAAACATCAACCCTTATCTCTCAGAAGTCGACCTTGGAAGAAGACATAGGGACAGTCTGGAAATATCCAGCACCAAGAAAATACCCAAACGCACGCCGCCCAACGCAAAGCGAAAGGTGATTTCTGACGTATCCAACACTGAACCCATTCCGGAGTTGCCAGAGCAAATACTGCAAACTGTAAAGCAGAAGAATACGGAGAAGAATGCAGAGCAGAAGGTTCCTACTTCAGACAAACCTCCTTTTCAGCAACAACCTCCTTTGCAACAACCCCAAGCCCAGCAACTGCCAAAACAAACCTTCCCAAGTGCAGATTGCATTAATTCCATCGATTTAGCTCGCATTCATCCGTTACCTCCACAACTACCACCACCCATGCCGGTGCCAAACCCCAAGCCCAAGAAACAGAGCGGCATTCCCAAGTCACGCACTCTTAACGTGCTTTCCAACCTGACATCCTCATTCTCGCGCGCATCGCTATCCAGCAGTAACAACAATAAAAATAGCCGCAGCGATTTACGTCGCCAGATAGGATCGCCCATAATGGCTTCTAACACTTTCGACGGCAACGCGTCTCTGACCGAAAACGACAGCTCCCTTGGAGCAAATGTGACGCCCAACCAAGCTTCCACGCCTGCACCCGCCCTCGCGACCATGCCCGTCCACCGCAACCCTCGCATGGTCTACAACGCCGAGACCCAATCGTACTGGACCGGCCGCTTCGTCGCCATGCAAGACAAGCTGCGCAACGAGAACCTAAAGGGGCAAAGTCTGAACCTCATCACGACCTCCATGCCGGGACAGCAGCAACCCCAAGCCCAAGCCCCTACACCCAAGCCCACCCCTACACCCGCGCCCGTGCCCGCGCCCGACGCCGCGCTCCGAACCTCCTACAGCATGGCCTGCATGCCAGGCGTGACTCCCCAGCTACTCTCGGGCGAGATCGTCGCCACAGTCCAAGCCGCGTCGGAAATGACAGACGAAGACACCCGCATCCGCCGCGTATTCCGCCACCTGGAGGCGCTGTGCGCGAACCGCTCTGCCCTCGACAGCATGCACGAGTTCCAACAGGACTACGCGCGTCTCGTCGGCAAGAAGGGGCTTCTCCCGCCCGGCTCGTCCTGGGATGACAAGGACAAGGACAAGGACAAGAAGGGTTGGGTCGGCCGCATCTTCAGCGGTAACAGCAGCAGCGGCAGCAGTAAGAAGAAGGCTAATGGATCGCAGTAGGAAGCGAAGAAGAAAGAAATTAATGCTATGGATCCGACACGACCAGTGAGAAGTTTGATTCGTTGAGAGCCCTTAATGGTTTAGCTTGTGCTGTATTGTTTCTACCTACTTTGCTATACGCAGTTATGTTATAATGAAAAGGACCGCAAAAGGAGAGAGAGAAAAAAAAAAAGGAGGCGGATATGTGTCATACGGAGAAGGACTTAATACTCATTCCGGTTATTCTACGAGGGAAGCTTCACGAAGCACAAGTGGAACTATTCATACCTGGAAGCATTAGTTGGACGTGTGTACGATATGTTACGAGAAACGAACCTCATGAACTTTAGGACTGAATAATATTGCCGGCATCAAAGACCTGCATCCCCGGTCTAGTTATTAGTTATGATCAATAATACATGACCAACTGGCTGCTCATTAATTATAAACCCCCAGTAATAATGTAGTCCATTCGTGTGAAAACATATAATTTTTTCTGGGAATTACTTTTGAATTCTACCCGTCGCGGACATGGCGAGAGCCCTTATATGAAGGCCTGCGAACCCCTGTCTAATCATATCGTAAACCGTGTAACGCGCGCCTATCGTTCCCATCATATCCCAATGCACCTTATAAACCGGAAAACTCCCATGCCTGATGATATGAATTACCAGATTCAAACAATAAAATGAATGGGCGGACTGTAGCACCGAGTAAAAAGGGCGAGAAAATTCAGTTCGCCCTCCATTACTTATTTTTTTTAACTACCTCCATCGTTCGCCTTCCTGCGAGATCTCATAAAGTCCTTGATCTGCTCGACCTTGGTGGCGAAGAATATTCCTTTCTTGTCGTTACGCCAGGCGCAGACGCCGATGTTGTCCGCAAAGTCGGCCACGGCTTTGTACTCCTTGTACTCGTCGAACTCCTTGAAGAGGTAGCCGTCGCGGGTAGATATACGCTCGGTGTCGAGCTGCCAGAGGCGGATCTGGTCGATGACGACGGGAGGCAATACGGGCTTGTTGGTTGCAGCGGCATACCGGTACATCTGCTCGTCTGCGTGCGTAGAGAGATACGAGACAATCTGGTCCGCCGTGATGCCGTGGCTAACGGCATTTTTAATAGATTTGCGTGTCAGATGGCCTGATACGAGACCCTTGAAGCGAAACTTGAGGTCCGAGAAGAGGGCTAACACGGCGATTTGCAGCGGCGAGTGTACATACGCGTACATCCGGAAGTTGGTCTCGAGGATAATGGTGCACTTGTCTTGCTCGTCGCTGGTTGCGCTAGCGGCGGCTGAGAAACCAGCGCTGACGCTTCGAAGGGCTGTTTCGTTACTAGTAAGAGTTGTAGCTAGACGAGTAGGGAAAAATTGGTGAGTGTTGTGTTGAGGAATGTAGATCAGACCGAAGTCGATGAGAGTAGGTAGCATATTGCGTCGACTCTCCGTGAGGGCGTCAGTGCTATATGCACGCCCGAATTCGAGGGAGGCCAACATGAAGAAAAATGATAGCATGTCAACGGAATCCATATCGGATTTGCTCCCGTTGGCGTTGGCTATCTCAATAGCCTCGAGCCAGAGGAGTAATAGAGCCCAGACCTGGGCGTTTGCTTCCTGCAATAAAAAGGAAAAGCCAATATGTGTAATCTTAAGTTCGCCAATCCTACGCTCAACCAGCCGGCCAGCCAAGAGAAGGTCCTTGACTGACTGCTTAGGTCCACTAGAGCCCGTCTGAATGCTGGTTATTCCGGTAGCCGAAACGACGTAATGCAGTATATCATCCCATTTTCTCCTCGCGTACCTATCCAGGAACATATGGTCAACCTCGCTAGGAATGGGTTGTGTAGACGGCACGCCGAACGAATTATGATCGCCACCGCCCTCCAACGCAAGCCGTAGACTATTTTTGAAATTTTGGGTAAGAGCTAAGGACTGAGGCTGAACTATATGTAACGATCGAAGGATGGCGATGGCTTGGTCCTTTTCGCGGACTGCGGTGGGTTTTATCCACAGATCGAGGTCGGATACGAGAAATGGAGTAGGCGAATATAGTATGGCCATTACGATAGTCTTTGCTATATCTCCAAGTTAGAGATCCTCGTCCTAAGCAAGTTTACACGCTTGTTGAGAAGCTCTTACCCATATGAGGAAGCATGCGCCGGAAGATGGCGAAGGCTGTGGAAGGCTGCTGGTACAGCTTCCTAAAGGTAGTTCCCGGCAGCTGTTCCAGGTACTGGGGCAGCGAGTTGGCGCTGGTAGACATGGCGAAGTGTTGTATGATCAATCGCAGTTGAAGGTGGCTAAGAAGCTATCATGGTATGAAGCCGGTAACTAGAAGCCAGCTTCGAGCGGCACCAGAACACCAATCGTAGCTCTGTTAAAAAGAACAATTAGACTTTATTGATCACGGCTATAACTATGATTCATGGCAGGCTTGTTTGGGTACCTGTCCTTTCGTTGAAGCAAGAGTTTGCGCTGGAATGATAAAAAGTTGAAAGAATTAAAGCCGAAGAAGCTCAGCGCTGTCGCGCGACCAGCGGAGCTCATCTTTAGCTGCATACATCCTTGTACATGTATTGTACCTAAGGTACCGAACTACCTAAGCTCCACTGAGGCTAACAATTAAATGTACCTATGGAACTTCGTAGGTGGGGGACACCTCCGCAAAGATTTATGCAAAGCCACGCCTAAGAGGAACCTAAGGTTAGGTACTTAGTATAGGTACGGAATTATAAATAAAAATGGGTTTCTTTGTCTACAATCTTTAACATGCTTTGCTATAAACACGGTATTTGGTTTGATTAAATTTCTTAATGAACTTGAATAATCTCTCTGCTGTATTAGAAGAAAATAATCATTTGCAAGGCTAGATATCGATCAAGGCCTCCCCTAAGGATGTAATCGCAGCTGGTCAAAGCGCCATGTTAGCAAAGACATTGGTAAACAACTAACAACTTCGGATCACCATTCACAACTCCAGTACTACAACATGTCCAATATACAAGTTATCGGATACTATATCTACTCCAGCTAGGACGCTAGAGATAATTAATAAAATCATTGCTTCTTAGGTTTCGTAGTCATGATCGCTATCTACCGCGCCAACTTCATCCTAGATTATCTGTCCGCATGTAATTCCCTCGTCACGCCCTCCCTATTATTTCGGCGTATCTGTGGACAGTACATTTTCAATAAAACCCCAGCAACATTTATTGTTTCTTACACTTCCATAGGGCTTGGTTTGAAATTCACTTGATTATCTTCCTAGGTACATCACCCCTTGATTAGATCCACTTCATTGTTATTCGGATCAAATCTGGACAAGCTCTTTCACTGCTGGCCGTCCATGTAACATAAGACTCAGCGATGAATATAAGGTATATAGCATTGCTCTTCCCTCATTGTTACGCCTGTCCTTCTAAAATATTTCCGCCTACCTTTGAGTATTTGAAAATATTGTTATCTGGCAACAACTGGAAATCCCAATATTGACGCGCTTGAACCATAAATTCGCGAGAGGTGATTCAAGCCGAATTAACAAATTGATTCTGGTTCAATAGTCACTCTACCATTCTCGACGAAGCCGAACTATAAAGCTAAGACTAGTTATACTTTCGTTGGCAAGCAAGTACACCATTAGAGAGCCCTTCAACATACAATCCCTATTTTTCATAGCAAAAACCCAACTATTCATACATAGTATGGATCAAAACTTGCTACGATTGTTTTTCCACAGTCCCGTCGAAATCCAGGTCATGATTCTCGGGCAATTAAGTATAAAAGAGCTAGATACAGTGCTCTTGAAAACTCCACAGTTTATGGAGGTAATTGTCCAAGAATTCCCTTCATTTGTCAGATTAATGTTCGAGAAATGTCCTAATATGCCGTACAACTTAGAGATCCGTCATCTCATCCATCACATCGTTTCTCTTGAAGCCTCGTCCGAGCTCCCCTTCACCGATTTGAAGAATGGCCCACAGACGTACGCTAACTGGATTAAAGAATTTTCAAATCGAAGTGACGATACCATGCTTCCAACTATTCCTCGCACTCTTGCGAGCTTGAGCCGTATCCAGCTCTTGCTTCAAACCGTTGAAATCTGGGTAGCTCGACTTCACTTCAACTTCTCCAAGTCGTACGTACTTGTATCTCAAGATCCCCAGTGTTTCGAGAGGTTCCTCAAAACCCAGGACAAGGTCATAATACGAGGAAGAGATAACCAGGATGAGCACTCCTTCTCAGAAGTTGAATCATACCGCATTCGCCGGGCTCTCCTCCTATTTGAACTCTATTGTACACTTTTTCATTCCTATAACCCCCATGGAAGCAGTAAGCAACACAACGGTAGAGTTTCCGAGCAAATGTTATTCCTCCAATCACTACAGCCTTTTCTGCTGACAGAGTTAGATGCTATATACGGAATGATCGAGTGTCACCTAGATTGGAATTGGCGTCTTCATGGGATTATCTGCCGCACCTCCTTACCCTTGCATCCCGGACATGGTGTAAGACCTGGTGGAGAAACACTCGAATATATTATGAGCCAGGGATTGGAATTGCTAGCGCAAGAGGCCTCTGATTCTGAAAACCTAATGTATGAAAATGAGGACTCCGATGCGATCGGACGGTATTGCATGCGATGCACGTCCCACAACCCAATTGGAAATACATTTTTTACAACACCTTTAGGTCACTGTTTTAGCGACTACCAAGGTATAGACAGTATCCGGATACCCACAATGGTTCCTACTACAGGTATGGTATCCTGGAGGGGAGCTCCTGATAGGACTAATGGCTCGTCATGGTTATGTCGAACTTATTTCGACCCTGACGAGAAACAAAATAGAGATCGAATCGCAACTTTAATCAATGAGGATCCTCATAACTGGATGGGTCTTGCATTTTGGGAAGAAGACCGTCTGAACCGCCATTTCAAGCTGACTGAGGAGGCTAGGATTATTGGTCTAAAATATCGAATATCGAATTACGAATTCACAACTGGTCTAACCGATCGGGATAGGGAGTGGTTGATATTTATGGACGTCCCAAATGTAGGATATATAAGCACACGACTACCAGACTCAGCTGCTACCATCTACCAATCAATTTTGGGATAATGGTTTGCAAGAGCGGCTATTCAATAAACGACAGTTGGGGGCTCCGAAACAGTAGGAGTCCTCATGTGACGTCCAGTAAACCCCCTTCTTCTACTCCACTTTGGTATATTACTCTTTTCTCTTTGCTTCTTTTATTACACTTTGATAGTTGGGGATGAAACTTTAGACCCCAATCTCAACAAGAGACCCTAATTTTTAGATGAAGCCAGTTGCTGATTCGACCCAAAAATGGCCGTGTTTTACCCCTTTTACTTTACTCCTTTTTCCTGTTTGATGAGTCGGATAAAACCTGGCCGATCAGCCAATCTATCAATACTAGTTATTCATCATCAAGTGATTTTTACACCCATTCATAGCTTAAAAGATACCGGGAGTTCAATTGATTTGCCAGTAATAATGTTTTATATAAGTCAAAGCACCCTTACAGGGGCTACCCTAATGGGGGCCACCTCAAAAACGCAACGCGTTTGCAATAAGGTCTATATATGAATTATTATATAATTTTATTAATTTTTAGTTAATTAAAAAATAAAATTTATTATTTAAATCTTTATTTTTTTATAATTTTAAAATGTTTATTTTTTTAATTTAATTATATTGTGTTGCAATAATAAACGACATTTTTAACGGTATATCTTTGCGGTAGGCGTTTAAAAAATATTTTATATTATAATATTATTTTATGAATTAAATATTAAGTTGTAAAATACGAAACGATTATTTAGAAAAATATTAGAAGTTATTAAAATATTAAAAAAAAGAATTAGTTAATTGGGTTGTTATGTTAAATTATATTAATTATATACTTTTTTTATATCGATTTAAAAATATTATAAGAAGATTATTAGCTTATAATTATTGGTTTAATATTTTTAATAAATATTAATATATATAATTTTTATTTTATTATTTTAATATTAAATTAGTTAAGGTTTATTTAATTGATTATAAATAAATTAACGGGGTTATAGTTAATAATATTAATATTTTTTTTAACCAATTCGAAACTTTTAAGATTAAAAATATCCTGGTTAAGTATACGTATAGCGCTAATAAAATGGAGATTATAAAAAGGGTTAGGAATAATGGGATAATTATTGGTAAGGTTTATAAAAAACGTATTGTAGTTAAAAATTGTAATAATAAAATTTAGATGTTAATTATTAAGTATATTAGTAATAACGGTTAATTTTTAAATTCTTTTATTATATATATAAATAAATATATATAATAATAATAATTTTTTAATAATAAAAATATTAAATTTAAAGGTTAGAAGTTTATTACGTTTTTTAATAATTAGATTAATAATAATATTATATTTAAATAATTTTATAAGGTTTTTTTAAAAAAAACGAAGTTATTAAATTGTTAGTAATAATAATTATTAATTTTCGATAGTTACGGTAGTCATATTATAATAAAATTCTTTTAAGAATATTTTATAAATAAGGTTTATATTATTTTTATTTTGGTATATTTATCGTACGTTTTATAAGTTATTAATGTAAATATATTTTTATTAATAAAATAAGGTTATTATTATAAATTTATTAAGGTATATTAATTATATTATATTTTTAATCCTAATAAAAGGAAATTTATTACGGCTTATTAAATAGTATAAAAAAAATGTTTAATTAGATATAATATATTAATTAATTAAAAGGTTATAGAAATTTATTTTAAAGATTGGAATAAGTTGTTAAATTATCGGTTTATGTTTTAAGAGGTTTTTGGTATTATCCCGGCCTTTCCGGACCTTATTTCTAATTTAAAAAAGTTTAATTTTATCGAAAATATAACTTTAATCCTTTTAATAACGCTTTTAAGTTTATAAAATATTAATATTTTAGTTAAAAAATTATTTAAAATCAATATAATGTTTATTAAATCTACGGTAAGGTTTTTATTTAATAAAATTGGTAAGGTTTTTAATAAAATTATTGTAAAATTAGTTATAATAAAAGTTTGCGCCGAGTATTTAGAAAAAGTATTAATAAATATGAAATTGTAAAAATGGCGTAAGATATTATTTAATTTAAATTTGATGTTTATAAATATTAAGGTTATTATAAAAAAAAAAATAGTTAAAAGCCTAAGAATTAAGTAATATAGTTATAATTAGTAATTTTAATATTAATTTGAAAAATAAAGTTTTATTAATTAAATTAATAGTAAAAAACTATATTATTGTTAAAATATAATAAATTATAAATTAATTAAATTTAATTTAATTAAATAATGTTAAATTAAAATTAAAATACTTATTTTAAAGGTTTAAAAATTTAAGGTGGCCCCCACTAGGGTGGCCCCTGTAAGGGTGCTTTAACTTATTTTAGAAACTATTAGCATAAGCAACACAACCTGTCTAAATGATACAAATTGTAAACTTCTAATATATTGTATATTGGCTTAACTTATTTCTAGTATGGATGAGGAAGGAGGTCTTAGATACATACAAATTAATCGTCCAAGAAACCGTTTGCTGTTTTTAGAAAAGATCGGTCACTAGATTCTGTAGACATCTCCGAAGCAAAGAGCGTCAACGTCACGACGAACTCATTTTTATAATCCTCTAGGACTCTCACCGGAGAAGTCAGTGTACCATGAATGGTCTTGTACTCATTTTCCAGCCATCTACTAACGTGTCGACGGACTCCGGCCTCCATCTTGGACCGTCCCCGAAGCAGACGGCCTGGCGTGACATAAGTTGAATAAGTTTCCGCATGCATGCAACATGCTCCTGGTCGAGCGCCTGACCTCTAAGTGCCGCCTCAAATATGGGGTAATCGTCACGAAAACGTTCCCGCAACTCTCTCTCGAAGTCCAGCGGCGACAGAAAGTCGTCTTTACTGAAGCCCGCCTTGTTGGCCTCGTCGCCTAGTGCGACGCTTAGACGTTTTACTAGATTCGGGTCTAAGAAGCTCTGCGCCAAGTGTCAATCCCAGTCCTCATAAACGAACATAACTCAAGAACAGACATAGAACTCGGTTTACCTTTATTTCCTCTGCATGCTTATCGCCGGCGAGGTGGAAGTATCCATAGCGTCGAAAAGTAAGTCGGGCGTGCATCAAGCGCATTATCTGCGGAAGGGCCAGACGCTTCGACGTGAAAGACCACTGCCTAGTAACAACGTCTACGGCTACCGGTGGAGGTGTCGCTGAGGAGAGTATGGCCCGTAGCGCTTGGAAACCGAAAGCCAACGCTGCCCAGTATATTTGGCCAGCTAGAGTGTAGGCTTTCTCACCCATGTAAGGAACAATATCCGGTGGGGGATCCGCGATGTGGAGGGCTCTATCTGGTTCGAATGTGGTTGAAATCCCCGTGGAGACTGTTTGCCCCCCGAGGTAATCTGGATTTAGTATTGACATGCCCGAGCCACTGTCAAGATTATCTAGATTTGTCGTTAAATCATATGCATCGGAACTCGTCATTGACAAGAATTGTGACCAGCTATTCGCTTGATCACTAATCTCAAATGATGCTAATGAGAAATCATCAAGACTACTGCTTTCCTGAGATGGCGCAGGAGCTGCGATCATTGTAGCTTCAATAGGAGTGATACTCGACTGGCTAGAGCTATTCAAACCCGGGATCGCTGGCGCTGGTAATTTGCGCTTAGCCTCGGGGGCAGCAATGCCGGCGACCTTACGGGCCTCGGTGATTGCTTGCGATATGGTGGCGTCATTACGATCTGCAGCGTCGCTTATTGCCGAAATGGCCCTGCGAAGTTTGCGGTTCTCTTCTTCCAAACTCCGGATGGTGTCGATTTGCCTTTGTCTAAATGCTCGCTGGGCCAATTTACCCCTCTCACGACGGGCCTATGTCTTAGCAGTTGGCATTGGGCCTGGTTCACACATGTAATGTTTTAGGTACTCGAGGAGGCTGAAGAAGAGTTATGGATGAGTCTTACCGCTATGTAATCTGGTGCTTCCGCACGTCGGGAATCTGAATCCCTAAATTCATTGTTATGTCCCATACTGTAATGTATTAAATAAGTGTCTTGGTAATGGATTGCTTTGTTCTGGGCTAAAAGCCTTTAGATCTCAGTGTTGCTTTTTCTTCTAGCAATAACAACTTTGTATTGAAGAAAAAGGTGGAACTATAGCCACGTTGACTCTTCAACTGTAAGATCTCCTAACTTATGATTTGTCATCTGATGAGTCAGCTGCAACGTTTAGGAAATAAGTCAGGGTTAGCCGGAGTTTGTAGCGACGATGTATAAGTGTGTAAGAAAAATAGTGTTGCAGAATGAAACTATAGGCTTATTATGACACAATCATAACCCGTCGATTTGGAAATAACCCTCGAATTATTCCCATCAACGTTTAGAGTCCGTAAGACAATGTCATAATTGGACAAACACCTCACAGAGATGGATCTGTTAGTGAGCACACCAATCTCATCTCGCTATTAGTTACCTCAAGACGCCTGAGATATACTACTTTAAAGTTGAGGATATATTTAATTCCTGCCTTTTTATATGTTTCTTTTATTCTCTTTTATCCGTCTCAAAAGCTTCTTGGCGTATTAATACCATATATATCAGCTACGTATGGCACAAGGTTTCAAATGATGTATTATCAGAGATACCCCTTGATTGATTCCATACATAAAGTGAATTTTAGAAGCAGCAGCGAGGCTGTTGTATAGGAGCTGTATAGTAGCGCCCCTTATATATCTATTCTGCGTAGATCTATACCTAATTCATACTAGCCTAACTTATCCCCTAAAATGTATACCTACCTACACAATCGCCATATAATGTTCTTCGTTTTACTACTGTATTGTTTGATCTCTTATATGAGGTAGGTACCTTCTAGATAATATACTAAAAAATGCTAATAGTATCAATAATGTTCCTTAACTCGTGAAAGAAATTAAGTTAAACGCTGGCGAATTGTCTGTCATATAGATAGGTAGGTACCTTGGTGGTGGTCGGGACTAATAATAAGTCAGGGAACTACGTCTGTTCAGCCGCATCTCCTCTTCCTTCAATACTGCTAATAGCTAAAATTAGCAACAGTTAACCAAAATGGCTATCAATGCCGGAACTTGAAGTTATGTACATTCAGTATAGAAAGAAACAATGACTATTCCACTCTTTTTGAGTATCACTTCTATGATTGAAAGCAATCGAACATCAAAACGTCGCTATATAGAAAAAACTATATCAATCCTCTTAAGCCGCCCAAGTTAAATATTTTCATTCGCCACAAACCGGACTTTCGTATTCTCACATAATGACAGCATATTATTAGCACTATGGTAACTCTAGAAGTATCAGTATTGGATAGAGATATCAAATAAAAAGGCTCGCTTAAAGCAGCAATGAGGCCGCCAAAAGCGCAATAGCGTATTCATGATCGACCCAGAAGAGGACTGACTCGATGACACTAGAGACTTAGCTTACATCAATACTCATTCATGAAATACTCTGTAACCGCTGAACACCAAGACTCGGCAATCGGGATCTTCCTCCTGGCATTCGGGAAGATGCAATAGATGGGTCCAGGGCTGCTAAACCCCGGTATCGGAATATAAAGATATCTAGGGGTCTTTGACTTATTATAGCTGATATCTTATCTATGTTGGCATTACTAGCAAGCATATTGCTAATCATCCAGAGCCGTCAATTTCAAGCCTATACCGCTTTGGGGAACTATATGCGGCTATTCCCCCGCAACTAGTTTAGTCCTTGGCCTACACATGCATGAGAGGGGAACCCCGAGATCTTCCTATCATCGCCCATCGCCCTCCTAAGTATACTTATCAAATTGGGGAGGGGCAAGTGGTGCAGACCTGAGCCTAGAGTTTCTGATACTGAAGCACGACAAGGCGGCGAGTGGAGCTCTTATCAGGTAGTTCTGGGATAATACTATTGCTAATTGGCCTTAGATACATACATCGTATGTGTGTGACTGCATCATTCGTATTATAGACTATTAGGGAGTTAGGGGTATAAGGATTATCACTATCAAAATGTGTTTGCGTGTGATATACTTAAGTTCGTGCCATTCCCGCGAGGGGTTCTGTTCAACATTTTCTTATCGTAATTTACGCCTCATACCATAGTCACAATGGGTTCTACAATTTCCGACGCGGTTCCGCACCCTTTCGATCCTTTGGGTTTGGATGAAATCCAGACAGCTATTAGCATTGTAAAAAAGGCCCACGGAGATGTGTTCTTCAACGTTGTCTCTCTGCACGAGCCGCGAAAGGCGGAGATGGTAAAATGGCTAGAAAATCCAGCCGACACTCCTCGGCCGCCCAGGATTGCTGATATCGTCGTAATTGCCCCCGGTGGCAAGGTTTATGATGGGTTGGTTGATATCGCGGTTGGCAAGATCACTAAGTGGGAATTGCTGGATGGATTACAGCCTATAGTAAGTCTTCCTGTGTCGAACGAATAGTGGTATTGCTCACAATGGTGTTTAGATAACTATGGAAGAGCTAGTTCTTGTTGAGCACATCTGCCGGAAGGACCCTAAAGTTATTGAGCAATGTGAAATCAGTGGGATTCCGAAAGAAGAGATGCACAAGGTCTATTGCGACCCATGGACGATTGGTTACGACGAGAGGCACGGCAGCAAGATTCGACTCCAGCAAGCATTGATGTATTACAGGCCCAATGTTGACGACTGCCAGTACCAGTACCCTCTAGATTTCTGCCCTATATTTGACGCAGAGAAGCAAGAAATCATTGCCATTGATATCCCCAAGGTCCGACGACCACTCAGCAAAGCAGCGCCAATAAATTACCATCCTGCTGCAATTGAAAAGGCAGGAGGATACCGTAACGACTTGAAGCCCATCAACATAACTCAGCCCGAAGGAGTTTCATTCAAAGTGAAAGGGCGCGAGTTGGAGTGGCAGAACTGGAACTTCCATATAGGTTTCAACTATCGAGAGGGTGTCATCCTCAATAACATCACTTATAACGACAAGGGAACCGTACGCCCAATCTTTTACCGGCTCTCCTTAGCGGAGATGGTGGTACCTTAGTGAGTAACTTGGATCTATTCACGGAGAATTTGCTAATGATAAATTTAGTGGGAACCCTGAGCATCCTCATCAGCGGAAGCATGCTTTCGACCTTGGAGAGTACGGCGCTGGGTACATGACCAACAGTCTTACGCTGGGGTGTGACTGCAAGGGTTCTATCCATTACCTAGATGCACATTTTCCTACAAGATCTGGCAGTCTACGCACCATCAAGAATGCAATTTGCATTCACGAGGAGGATGACGGCATATTATTCAAACATACCGACTTTAGGGACGAATCCGTCATCGTCACCCGAGCACGGAAACTCATCGTCCAGCAGATTTTTACTGCTGCCAATTATGAATATGCCATACAGGTCAGTTTCTATAGAAATACAGATGGTAATTGAATACTAACCTGAAGCAGTGGATCTTCCATGTGAGAATTCAAGTGTGGTTTTTTGTATTGTTCGTCCTACTGACTTCAACTTTAGCAAGATGGTACCATCCAGCCGGAGATCAAGCTCACGGGCATCCTGAACACTTATGCTATGGGCCCTGATGAGGATACTAATGGCTGGGGAACTCAAGTATATCCAGGTAAGTTATCAAAAATCAATTTCCCTATATCAAATTCTTGAAATCTTTATTAGTGGCTAACAGTACCCAAAGGTGTCAACGCACATAACCACCAACACTTGTTCTGCCTACGGGTTGATGCCAACGTAGACGGGCCTAACAACACGGTTTTCGTGGCAGACGCAGTCCCATCTGACGCGCCAGTCGGCAGCCCGGAAAATTATTATGGCAACGCATTTTATGCTAAGCGAACGAAGCTGGACACGACCGGCAAAGCAGCGACAGACTACGACGGCGCTACGAGCCGCACATGGGACATTTGCAACACAAGCAAATTACATCCCTATAGTAAAAAGCCAGCGAGCTACAAGCTCGTCAGCCGAGAGGTCGCTAGGCTTTTACCAAAGGAAGGCTCTCTAGTATGGAAGAGGGCCGGGTTCGCCAGACACTCGGTCCATGTTACGAAGTGTAAGTAGACTGCTTGCCTCCTTTTCTCCCTCCCTCTATCTGTTAAGCGGGCTTTCTAACTAAGAATCAACCCTGTAGATCGAGACGACCAGCTGTGGCCGGCGGGGCGCCACGTGCCTCAGACATCGGGAGAGCCGTCAATTGGTTTGCCGGAGTGGATTGGGGACGGCACGGAATCCATCGAGGACACAGATGTGGTTCTATGGCACACCTTCGGAGTCACACATATCCCCGCTCCGGAAGACTTCCCTGTGATGCCGGTTGAGCCCATCACATTACTCTTGCGTCCGCGCAACTTCTTCTCTAATAACCCCGTCATGGACGTCCCGCCTAGTTACTCTAGTACTCCCAGCCAAGTGGCCGCGAACGGCGCTGGGATTGTTAATGCGACAGATGGAATGAGCAAGCTCGCGTTTACTAACGGAGGTAACAGTTCAGAGAGCTGTTGTGCCACTAATGGGACCAATGGCACGAATGGGGTCAATGGACACTAAATGGGTAAAGCACCACTTGTGTCGAGACGAGGAGGCCTGGTTAGCATCTAGATTAATTATAAAAATCTAGAATAGAGATGATGGAATTTGCTACTATTTGAGAATGGGGCTCCAAATGTACGAAGTACGAGTGTGGGTGTCTAGAAGTCCAGTGAATGTGGAAATATATTACAAAGTACCTCTTTAAAATAGGTCTTAACATAGGTGGTAGTTATCTATATAAATAAATTGAACAACACACATTTGATATATTAATTTGGATTATAAGCCTCTAGTAGAAAATAAGATATATATATATACCTAATATATAAATATCAACACGTAATATCAATAATAAGGTCAGCGATGGAGAACAAGGTCTTGTATCGGTTCGCAAAAGTCGTTAATGTCGACTTTTTCACTTTCCCTTATGCTATCATCCGCCAATTGTGCCCTTAAGCGACTTCGCCGATATCGAACCGTCTCGGCCAAATTTTCACTGTCCAACAACTGAACAACAACAGGATTCATGGTCTGACCTGTCCTATCAACACGGCCGGCGGCTTGCCTTTGTTCATCTCTATTTTGAGGATATTCGGTAATGATACAGTAATTTGCTCTTTGCAAATTATGGCCCTTTCCCGACAAGCGGCTGGTAGATACTATTATCTTATTTCGACTTTGAGCAGTACATGGTTCGTTTATCCGTCCGAGCATTGGGGCACGCTTGGCAGGTGGTATTCCAGCGTGGGCATATATCCAATCAATCTTCGAACCGTACCTCTGATAAAGCAGCATAAATAGCAAGAAGGCCGCAATTTGGGACTCGGCAAAGATTAACATATGGCGAACCCGACTTCCATCCTCCGGCTCGGGTCCCGGGTCGGGAAATCCGGTGCTATCATCCCAAATGTTTGCCCTCAGCTCTATCATATGGTCAATGTAGTCACATATTTTATGAAACTTCGGAGACGTCGTTTCCAATTCCTCTCGCTTATCCCAGTACTTTGATTTCCGCAATATAGATAGTATGGCCTCCTCCATAACGTCATTTGCCGTTCTCCTAGACAATCCCCGCTCGAGAGCATTCGTTATATCCTTCGCATATTTCATAACCTCGTCCTTTAAGATCATTTCGTACGTAATCTCCTTGCTATCGACGAGTCTTGCGAGTGCTGGGAGTGCCGAAGAACGTAAGATCACTTCGTAAGCATGAATTGTAGGGTTAGCATTGACTACAGTGCCCAGTAAGTCTGCTTGGATTGAATCCTTTTGCGGTTCTGGGCCTCTTTTCCCACCGCTTTCCCACTCTCCTTTTTTCTTCATATACGCTTCATCTATCCAGGCTACAAAGGGGTAAAAAGGTAAAAGTCAGTACCGAAAAAACTAATACAATATTAAACACTGGGGAAACTTACATCGCACTGTAGCGGCCAACCTTCGGTGGGAACGTCGGACCTCGTCATCAAACATATCGCATATCTCCCAAAAAATAGCCACGGGTGGAGTTCCAATTAGAACGTCTCTGAATCTTTGGCCTTTATTTCGACAAAGCAATGCGAGAGGTATGAACTCTCTTAAGAATTCTAAGAGATTGGTGTATCTTTCATTGTTGTCTTCGGGATCATGACTGACAAAATACGCCCAAGAAGACACATATTGGTCTAAGTCGTCGATTCTTCCGATTTTTGGTATGAGCTGCGGCCCCCGCGCATGTGAATTGAGAATATGCTCGACAAATGGCCGCCAATAATGCGGACCGCCGCCCAACATCGAAGCCGATAAACCAATAGCAACAGGAGCTCTATAACAAGTGTTCCGAAGCGCCGCTAGACCCCTAAAAGGGCCTGTCGAGGTAGTCTTGCTCCCATGATACTTATGTACCTCGTCCATGAACACATACCCGACCCCCAGGTCACATATCGCGGAGGGTCTTCTTTTGTTTGGGTCATTTATATTTACCCTATACATCGCAAGCAGGTTGCTCACACCGAGCGGGGCTGTGAGTATGACATATCGGGATTGCACATCCTGACTGCTGGGCCGTATTTTCATATTATGCAGCTCACCCCGGGTCATACGTACAGCCGCATCATCGTGTAAGTGAGGCTTATTATTCCAATCCCTATGAGCAACAGTAAATATCATATCCGCAGCAACGCTTCCATTTGAGAAGTCAACCCATTTGTCAACTTCTTTTCGCCACTAAAATAACAGTTAGATATTAGTTATTTTCACAATTAAGGACGTGGGTATAAGGGGTTCTCGATATCACGTACCTGGTCAAGCAAATCTGCAGGTGCAACAATTACACTAGGCGCCGACATTGTGTACCTCACAAACCGGTAGGCCACCGATCCCGGTACGCAAGGGCATATGAATCTAAATCTAGATTGCGCCTGGCTGGGGCAAGCCGTAAGAGGCCTTTCTACGCCTGATTGGTCGGGGAGGTGATTGAATTGAGGAACGGGGTTACTCGAATTCACTTGTTTTGCTATTACTTTCCTCTGTGCCCATTCGCGAGCCACTTCTCGTGAAGCTGTGTGCATTTGGTGACGAAGCACGATAACAGCTAGTGTCATCCCCGTCTTTCCAAGCCCAACATCGTCTCCGATCATACCGGCCCGAATGTCACGAACAGGCTGCATTATCATCCAGTAAACTGCGTGCATTTGATACCCCCTCAGTCTTAACCTAAGGCCTGGAACTTCCACCTCCGTATCATTAGTATTACATCCGAAAAACTGACAAACATTTTCCCAAGTAGTCGTGTCAATTTGCGCTTGGTTGATGTTGAGTTGATTCATAATTGCGTTTGCACCATCCGCCATGCTGCTCTCGTCTTCATCTTCCTGTGAAGTATTTGCGTTATTTTCGTCATCTTCGTGTATGACGTTAGTACCCACGACGATAGAGTTCATATCATTAGCATCCACCTCCTTATTATCACTTGTAGGAACCGGTCTCGTACCCGACACAAGATCTCGGCCTGGTGTTGAACGACCTCCCCCGCCTTGGCGAGCAGGTTGTCCCCTGCCAGCAGGCGGTGCCGGGCGACGGGTAGGTGTGCTAATTAACCTATCAAGGGAGCCAGGAAAGGGTGATTCAAGTTCACTAGGTTTTAAACTCCGTCTTCCTGCAACTGGGCCCGGACCTCCACCCCCACCTCCACCGCCGCCTCCGCCGCCGCCTCCACCTCCAGCTGGGGCTGGGGCCGGGACTGGAGCTGGGGCCGCGGCCGCGGCCGGGGCTTCTGATGTATTCGCAGTCGGGGGGCCTAATCTGAGATATTTAAAACCGTCGGACTCCTCGGTAAGTGGATGCTCGCCTGATTGAACTCTAGCTAAAAGGACATACCAGGAATTGGAAGTATGAAGTACCGATGAGGGCGGTCCCGGGTCTAAGAGCGCATCACGCTTTATTATCTTGTTTATCGCCAAATAATCTCTAAATGCTCCGTAATCGAAATCGCTCGATAGCCGACGTACTGATGCTCGACCATCTTGTTTAATAAACCGATTAAGGGGTATATTACCGGAGTGGTCCAAGCTTCGCCCTTCGGGTAGTTCTACGACTAAACTTCTCGGGATTTCAACCCCTGTTATTCTGATGATCAGATTATCGAGGTTTACTGCATTGATAGGTTCTGTAGACATTGCCAACTAGTATCAATGAACAAGGTAATCTTCTATAGTATATCCCGATGGGCTCATATATCAACCACACTCTCAACCTATACTGAATTCCGTGAATCGTTTAGGTCATTTATGATGATGACATAATTAAAATCCTCATTGCTCACAGTCGCATCTTAATATATAGCTATCTGAAGAGTTGTAGTCTTACAGTGAAATCAACATTTAATAAATAAAACACATCTTCATAGTTTCCAAGAACATAGTTCAACAATATATCAAGAGTAATAATAGATTTGTAAAGTCAACAAGGTTATTATAGAATAAAATATTAAGACGTGGTGTCTGTTTAACTGAAAAGTTGAAAGAAACAGACACATCTACGCCATAGACCATAGCTCCCACACTTAAGTATTCAAAGAACACCCAAACCCTTTTGAAAGCCTGATATTTACTTAAATAAGCCACACTTTTCAGGTACCTTTTATGTCCTTTATGCCTTTGTGGTATGGCATGCTGGTAGAATACCAGTTGCTTTTCTGCTTCTTAGTTATCCATAATGTTATGTGGCTTAACTACGTTTGTTACCTGAATAATAGGTAAATGACTTTGATAAGTCGTCCTCTGTTACCTAGATGCCGGTCAATCACCTCTTAGACACCTTACTTGAAAATGTCTGCTGTACCTAATGTAAAGGAATGAAAACGCAGGGGATTGATAGTGCTAAAATTACTCAAAAATATCTGCGTTGATATACCAAAATTCAGAGTTGATTTAATTGTAAGTCCATATCTATTACTTGCTGTCTCATAGAATTAAATGCGCATGGAGTAATCACGATTAAGCAAAAGGAGAATAGGGGACATGATATCGGCATCCCTCCCTATAACTTCCGCGGTGGTTCCCAGTAAACTTAACTCAATAAAAGAAACCTCCAGTTCAAGGTATAGGAGGCCCCTGGTCTGCTATGTGGCAACTAAGTTTATATTTAATATGATACTTAATTTTAGTCGATCTATATAAGAAGTAGTTCATCATGGGATCATTATCATGGATCTCATGAGCTTTAGGTACCCAAAATTACGCAGGTATATATTTTATATTGTAGTTTATATTGAATTTGCTCTCTAGTATCTCAACATTCACCAGTTACAAATTCGGAACCAGGGGCCTTCACTTGTCAATCTTACGCGTTAGAATAGCATAAATTCTCTCCGAGCGCTTACAGCCTAATTGGTTAATAATACCTTCCACCACCTCCTTAAAGCCCCTTTATGGGATCCTCGGAAGGCAATAGGAGGAGAGACAGCAGAAGACCTCGGACAGACTGAAACTCGTGAGAGGCAAAAGTTTTCTTTGTAGGGGATGATTCTAAGTATGACGTTACGTGTGAACTTATGCTTGGTTAAGGTGTAGCGGAGTCGACCTTGATGGGCGCATGATCGTCTCAATTTTCGAATCAACGAAGCTTAAGTAGATATTTACCTATTTATTCGATGCTAAGATATCATAGTTTTTAACTCTTAGTTATTATTTATCCCCTATGAGTTGGCTCCAAGGTCTATTCGTTGTATCCTGTCATCAGCACATCTCTGTTGGAATATATACTGCTCACAAGACTATAGGTCAGGCTAGACAGACTAGCTTGGATAAAGACTACCTACTTGTTCGCATATACTAGTATGACTTCGTTACACCAATGGGCAACGGCAGCTCTCAGCGTGCGTCCCTTAAACGATGGTGTTGGCAATGATGAGTTTGCGTGACGGAATTGTAAGTACCTATCTTCCGAGAAACAAGAGTAGAGTATCAAACTAATCAGATCAGCTATGTCAAATCTTGGAATACCTCATGCTCAATACCTTGATAGATATCTAGCACACGACACAAGACACGGTTGTTCCTGGGGACCTATGAACGTCACCAACACCAATGCATACAAGGCCTGGCCAGATACTGGTGTTACCCGAATTTATGATTTTACCGTCGCAAAAGAGACAGCCGCTCCAGATGGCATAGAGGTAGAATTACTCTTAGTAAATTCTCAGTTCCCTGGGTCTATGATTGAGTGTGATTGGGGAGATTCAGTTGAGAGTAAATTGGGACTCTGCCTCCTTCCCAGGTCACTATCGTTAACAATAATATAGTCACGGTTCGAAACAATATTTCAAATGATGGTACCGCAATACATTGGCATGGGAGTATGCAAAACCTCCAACCCCCTTACTCCCACGTCGACTACAACATTGACCTGGGCCCGATTACTATTTCCGATTACTTCCATGAGTTTTACGACACTATCACAAAAGGCCTTCTGGATAATAAAGTAGAAGTCACTCTCTCTGATAATAACTTGATCAATGGAAAGAATTCGTATAATGGCAACAACGCACCCCTATCATCTTTCAATTTCACCTCAGGGAAAAGGCACCGCTTACGCTTAATCAACACATCAGCATTTGCAGTACAAAAGATTTCAATTGATGGATATGGCTTTACAGTCATTGCCAATGACTTCGTACCGTTAATACTATATTCGACTGATATTGTCACTCTAGCGCCTGGTCAACGTACGGATGTCGTGGTAAGTGCAGCAGGTAACCCGACTGACTCGATCTGGCTAAGGGCGTATAAACCACCCAACTGTTCTCCGGGAAAGCAAGGGTCCTACTTAGCAACGGCGGCAATATTCTACGAGAAGGCCGACCGAACACAAATGCCGGTGACCCAACCCGGACCGAACGCGTATAATAATAACTATTGCGGTAATGATCCTTTGTCACGGACTGTACCGGCTTACCAACTATCTCCTGACGAGCCCGACGTAACAGAGATACTCCCCATCAAGCTACGTCCAAATGGGCCGTCTAACTTGTGGTATATGGCAAACCGGACATTTCGAGTCGATTACAGCGATCCGCAACTGTTGAATGCCAGGGACGGCAACTTTGAATTCCCCAATATTCAAAACGTCCATAATTATGGAAGTAACTCATCACTTCGTTTCATTATCCAGAATACGGGGTTCCAACCGCATCCCGTACATATCCACGGCCACAATTTCCGGGTTCTCCAAGAGGCCCCCTGCGAGGAAAACGAAACCTTGTTTCCGCACGGACAGCCGGACTTCTCTCATGTGTTCTCCCTGGGCGAGGCTTCTGATCACTTTGGTGGTAAGCCCGGCCCACAGCACCAGCGGAGACTCGATGTCTCCCCAGCTCAGCAGCACCTAGAGAAACGACGTAAGGAAAAGCCACAACCAACTATTATTGGCAACTATGGCTCGTGTTGGGACGGATCTATTGTCAATCCTAGAAACCCTCAAAGTCGCGACGTCCAGATGCTTTTGCCCGGCCATTACATCGTGATCCAATGGGAGCAGAATAACCCGGGGATTTGGCCGCTCTACTGTAAGTATATCACGATTTAAGATGAAGTTACGCGAAGGGCTAACATTTCAACCTAGGTCACATTGCGTGGCATTTATCCGGCGGGATGGGATGGATGGTACTGGAACGGCCCGACGATTTCTTGAATAATGAAAACATCAGCAACGCCATGTCACAAACCTGTACTGACTGGCATACATGGACCAGTAGGAATATAGTTGGTCAGTACCTAGCCTAGCTACCTACCTACTCAGACCTGTCCCGAAATCTTGATGCCAGCTAACCATATTTACAGACCAGATTGGAGGTGGTTTATGAAAGATGCTGTAATTACTTTCATAAAAGTAATGCATCGTCGTAATGTATATATTATCCATGAGTCGCATATCTCGACCTATTTGGTATTTAACTCAATGCAAGGTGACCATCATAATCCGTGCTATTGATAACATTCTGCCAATCTTCGAGCAAGAGCAGAGTCTCCTCGCATTTTCCTTTGATCGTATCGTAGCAGTCCCTGCCCAGAGGGAATCTTAACGGCACTTCTTTTCCCAGCGCGCACCCTTCCTTTCTAACAAGGTCCAGGATGATTTTCACTGCTTTCTCCGTGTCACCGGGCTGCGCGCGATCTTCCTTCGCTAGCCCATCCATATTGGCCTTCGACGCCCCCGCGTAGTCTGGGATACTAGACGTCACTGTACGTAGATTGCTTGGTGACAAGAGCATGGTTCTGAATCTGCCGGGCTCGATTAACAAGGTTCTGATTCCAAAGCCTTCCGTTTCCCGACTCAAACTTTCGACGAGGCCTACATAACGTTAATAACGAACCCTGATTTTGATGGCACGAGTTCATTACCTTCCAGAGCGAACTTGGATCCGGCATAGGGGCCGGTAAAAGGATGTCCGTACCAGCCCGAGAGAGAGCTGATGAATACCATGACGCCCGACTTCATCTCTCTTAGATGGGGTAGGACTGCGCGCGTCACCTTGAAGACTCCAAAAACGTTCGTATCAAACTGGGCAAGGAGCTGGTCGTATCTAGTATTTTGTAAGAAAGAGACTTTGTTAGAATAAATTCTGCCTTACTCAATATCTTCCCACCCGCCTGACGTAACGAACGCGGCGTTGTTTACTAATACATCGATTCTTCCGTATACGGCTATGGCCTTAGCGACAGTGTCATTGATGGATTCCTGAGAGTGGGTGACATCGAGTTCTAATACAGTCGCCCCGAGTCGCTCAAGATGCTGGAGCTTGTCTAGCTTTCGTCCAGTAGCAATAGCAAGATCCCCTCGAGATAATATCTGTTGGATCAAAATCACTCCGAATCCGGAAGAACAGCCAGTTACGAGCCATACGAGTTGAGTCATGTTGTTATTGGCAAGAGAGTTTCTGAACTATTTGAGAAAAGATGGAATGGATGTGTGGGATTCTGTGTTTGTGATCGAGGTCATGCGGTCGATATTTATATTACAACCTCGTAGCATGCTAACCCCTGATCCATTTCTACAGGATACACGCACTTAAGCATAAATTAACATCTTTAACGCCGACAACCCATTAGACGTGCGGAATATCTGGCGCTCTAAGTGAAGTCCGCCCTACGCGTAGGCGAAACGATGGAAAGGTCCGATCACGTGGAGCGGCCCAACCGAGACTTCATCTGACAATAGTCCGCTACAGTCCGCTTACAGCCCACCAAAAGCCGCCCCTATCTGCTTTGTGGTGTCAGCCTGATGTGTTTATTATAAATCACCCGCCGATGACGTCTATGTAGGTTCTTAGGTAACCATAGGAGAACTAGGACGGGATATCATAAAACAGAAAGAACTTATATTGTAAGATTACCTAGGTGCTGGGCTCATCTGTGAGCTGAAATGAGTGTTATGTACCTACTTGATGGCGTGGAATCCCTATAACCCGAATTCTCCCGGTCCTACTTTCGTGGCGTATATCCTTTCACCTCACATACATAATTCACTATTGTTCGTTGCTAACATTGGTTGTATCAGTCAAGGGTAGAATTCCAAACCAGTTGTAGCATCCCCCCAATGAGCATTGATGTAGTCAAAGGGGACATGGACCTTTCTTTTCCATGGCCCACTTGTGCCATATTTAGGCATCCTATCCTCTACCTCGGTATAAAAGGTAGATGTCAGAGGAGAGAATGGCTCAGTTTTCATGGTCGAGTCCTTCGGAACGCGTGGGACGGCAATCCTAGCGCCACGCTTCTGCATGTGCTTCAAGACTCGGAAAAAGCGGGTAGTAACTAAGTCGGCGTTTATAGTCCATGGGATATTGACATATGCCATCACGAGCATCATGTTGGGAATGTCCTGGATCATCGAGAAGTTCCATATGAATCTGCCTCCCCACTCTATCTTTTCGCCATCCACTCCGATATCAATATGCCCGCCGAGCAACGTTCTTAGCCCCGTCGCAGTAACTATCACATCGGTTTCGACTACTTGGCCGTTATCCATCTCAATAGCCTTTTCCGTGACACGCTTGATTGCGCCGGTTACGATACTTGTTCTCGGATCATGGAGAGCTTGGTAAAAATCCCCTGAGGGAGCCCAGCCGAGGCGCTGTTCCCAAGGTAGATATCGAGGCATGAAGTGAGGATCGATGTCGACAGATTTTGGCAGCTGTGGAAGCGCCTTGTTGATGAGATAGCTCTTGGCGTACATAGGGAAATACTTGCAGAATAGTATAACGAACCAAGAGAAGAGCGTGTTCCACACTCGTAGGAATGGGTGCATCCACGCCGGACGGGTATCATCGTCGGGCACTGTTAATATGTAAGAAGGACTTCTCTGTATCATAGTAACTCTGCCAGCTTTCTTCACTAGAGCGGGCACAAGTGTAATAGCCGTTGCTCCGCTGCCGATGCGGTTACGTCTCGGCCGGCATAGTCGAAATTTTCAGGCCAGAACTGGGGGTGGATAACCTGGCCTTTGAATTTTTCAATGCCAGGAATATGGGCCTGCCGTGGGGTGTTGTAGTCGTAATATCCTGTTCCTAGGATTACAAAGCGTGCCTTAAACTCCTTAAGAACGCCATCATGGCTCACGGTCACAGTCCACTGCGCTGATTTGGAGGACCAGTTCATAGACAGGACTTTGTGCCTAAACCGAATATGACGACCGAGGTTGTACTTAGACACGGATGTTTCTAGATATTCCTTTATCTGGCTACCCTGACCGATGGCTTTGGGATACGGCCAGGGATGCCACTTAAGGCCATACATGTAGAGGTCTGTGTCTGATCGAACCCCTGGATACTTGAAAAGATCTCAAGTGCCGCCGATGCTGTCTCGGTTTTCGAAGACGGCAAACGTAGCTTGCGGAAATTCCGTTTGCAATCTATAGGCACTGTTGATACCAGATATCCCGGCACCTACGACAATTAAGTCAAGGGAAGGGTCTCGGGAGTGTTGGTCTTTTCTGGTAAGGATCCCATGTTGATGTGTCCCTTCCTGTAACTAGGAACTTCACATAGGTAGTAGCAACAAATGTTTGCAGTAAAATAGTTTGTAAGTAAAAATAGGGGTAACTAAACACAAGTTCCCCTTGAGAACAAATCAACACAACTTTATTGAATCAAATATGATGATAAACAATTTTTTTTACAGGAACTCGCAATGAGCAGTAACTTATATTTGCAGTCACCTATATCTACTATCTGCTATAACATTACCCGAGGCTATACAAAGCGGCGATCTAGACATGGCCATGTCGTCTAGTCTAGTCGAGTAGAGTCTTCATTTTCGAGCGCATTGGGGGGTGGCGGCGTGTACGCTACTATGCTACTCGTGATGCCAATAATCGTTGGAGAAATAAAGGAAATAGTCTCGTGGCGTCGGTGTAACATGGGGGTTCGAATCATATCCCCCTAAACTAACGAATCTCTTCGTTCCTTTCAGCTTGTTACACCCCGCAGATGTTACTGATTTGTCACATTGTACAAGAGCGTCGCTTCACAATGACGAAAGTAAGTTGATACTGATTGGTTTTCGATGATAACAATCCGTGCTTTTTACCCTCTTAGCGGCACGCACTTGATAGCTGCTTTTTTTGTTTTGCTCTTTCTTATTCACCATTACTCAAACTGGACATAATCCCGAGAAGCACAGTGATATTTATCTAATGCCCGTACTTAGTAAGTGAAGTAAAGCATGTGGGCTGATATCTTATTGTATTGCTAACAAACTGCCTCAACCTGGCAAATAGTAATTTCTATACGCAACAGCATCTTGCTCATAGTGACTACCTACGTCATACTAACATATATAACGCTTTAACCGCGTTCTCAGCCGCGGCAATATGCCATGGCCGGATATCTGTTTCCTTGTCTACCATGCCACGTGCTCTAGCTAGTGTCCCGAGCCCTCGGTAATATGTAAGTATTTCCCTTAATAAAGATTCATATGCTCTGGGATTCCCCTCATTATGTACTAGGTTGACCTCTAGGAGGACAGGAGGGTCTTCAACTCGTGTCCCGCCGCGTTTTACTAGGTACCCACTGATTAGTGCTGGATTTAGCTCTGTCAAGGAAGCCGAGTTGTTCAATCTGTGGGATAGAACGGCACCCCACGTTTGATCGGTGATTTCGGTTAATGTAGCGTCACTGTCGGCTTCTGGATTGTTGTCCCCGCTGGGTGTCGGTGTGCTTGTAGGTGCATTCTCTCGCATGGGCGTAAGCGGGTTACCACTCTGCTCTGGTGACACCATAGACCCTTGTGGTGTTGAAACCGGCGTGGTGTAGAATACAGATAAGGCATTGCTTGATATCTTAACTGCCGGGGGGAGGAGTTGCATGGACGGGTTAGTGTCTACTACGATCAGCGTTAAGCTGATCGATGCTTTTGACTCTGCTTGAGCTAGAGCAGACCAGAGTTCTATCTCGGACTGTTCCATCGTACCGGATTTCGCGATCATGATTCGCCAGTGCACTTTCCGAGCAGAGATGAAGTCATGAGTGGCACCCCAGATCTCTGTAGTAACATCCGCGATTGGCCTCGATAGACATTTTCCTCTTCTTCCTAGACAGTATGATGCCGTCATTTGCTGGCTACCCCTATTATCTGTCCAAGCCGCTGTAATCCACCTTCCATCTATGCTTTGTGCATAAGCAATGTGGAGACAAGTGTTCTCATGTAACAACGACGCCGACGGATTGGTTGTCAGTTTGAAATCGATTATCCTTGGTGGTGGTTGTTCAAGCATTATTGCCGGGGATGGTCCCGCTCCACCAAATTGAGTGCACCTGTCGTATGTCTCCATGGCCAGTTTACAAAAGTCAGAAGGGGATGGCATGGCGACTGAACATGAAGATGCTATGAAATCTTGTGGTATTAGTTGTAGGGTCAGATCGTTAACGATTGATAACTTTTTACTCGAAAGCATTTTTTTGTATCCCTCGAAGATCTGGTTGAAAGCAGCGCAACATTCTACTGCCGATCCAGCAACATCTGGCGAATAGACGAAGAAGATGACGAAATTTATATCTTCAACCATCATTGATGCCAGCACTTGATAGATTTGTTTGACGCAGCTCGCTATTGAGGGTCGTAGAAAAGATGATGACTTGCTGAAAGGGATTAGGTCTTTCTCGGAAGCGAAAGGAAACAGGCCATTTTCTACACCGGATGTTGTAGGAAGACGGCTGAATGAACCCAATTTTAACGATTCATAAATGCTACGCATTCGATCTGTGAACACAAGCATGTCATCTGCCATGCCTTCGTTATTGGGAAAAATACAGAGTGCATTGATGTCTTTATTTCCAGGAGACGGACTTAGTCCAAGACTCTCCCAGAAAGCGACAGCAGATGGCAAGACAGACAACTTAGACTCATATCGGCGTAACTCAAAATGTGGCGATGGAATCTGGAATAAACTGCTTGGCCTCATTTGGTCGGCTCCCGGTGGCCTTGGTTGCATTCTTGTAGGTTGCCCGAGAAGAGGTACATCTTGAAGTTCAATAAAGGGACGAAATGGATACTCGGTAGCAGTTGCAAGGCATGGGGGGAGGCTAGACTTAACATCCTGGATCGATCTCCGCGTAAAATTGGTAAGCTGACGGCGCTGGTAGACTCTTGATTCTAACAGTTGAGGAGTTATAGTAGTCGAAAAGGTGGAAGTAGAAAATTGGTCTGTAACAATTTGTGCCGCCATTATTAACTGATCATCTGGCAGTGATGGTGAGAAAAGTGGTGGTTCCGGGTCGGCAAAGTACTTGGTGAGTGGCAAGTCCGCCTCAGACTTGCATGCAGGGGGTAACTCAAGTGGTAGATGAGGCAAGCTCAGGTCTATAGATTCAAGCTCCTTAAATGATGTAGCAAGGGACTCCCTATCATCATCAACTAGTCGTCTTCTCACACTCAAGGATTTCACGGGGGATAATGGCTCATCACTATCGTAGCTGAAATCATCCTGATCCGATACAAGACTGATTTCATCAGCGTCCGAGTGCGTCTCTTCGAGGTTTGAAGGGCTCGGTCGATTCGATATGGGGACCTGGGAACCAGATGGGGGAATTAGAAGATGCCCGATCTTCGCGGGAAGCTCTTTCAAGCCTTTCCGGGCTTTGACATGGCGGCGCAAATAGTTCGTCGTTGGCGGTTCATTCAGCCCAGAAAACTTGACATCTTCTGATCGCTCGACAGAGTAGTCGAATCGCCCACTTCCTTCATATTTACTGTTCACTGCTGATAAGCAGGGCCCAAAGTCCACTTTATCAAAAATGCTGTTATGAGAAAACGCGTTTATACGAGAGTTCTCCTGAACTGCATGATGGTTATCAAGAGACGCTTTAATTCTCTTGAACACGGTATCCGGGTTGAATGGACTAGCGGGCCGTTTGACACCCGCAGACTGGAATCTATTAACATCTAATCCAGCTTGGCGTCGCGCTTCATCTCCTAGCGAGCTCCGTGCATGTCTTAACTCAGGCTTCGTGAACGTTGGCGAAGCGACATCAACTAAGCGAATATCCGGAGGTGCTCCCTTGGCCTGAGACTCTTGTACCGTCGGAAGGCCGACCGTAAGACCTAAATTTGATTCTGAATTTGAAATGCCAGGCAAGTCAAGGGAACTGAGGCCCATGTCACCAGGCTGTTCATCAAAGAAATTAAAATCAGCCTCGGTAATATCGGTGTCTGCAAACATATCGGGACCCAATTCGCCGAAGAGATTTTCTGACTCAAATGAAGCACCTATACGTTCGCGTTTCGTGTCCGTATTTTCCCAATGATCTCCGTATGATCTCACATTACGAGTCCCATCAATATCTAACGCAGACGTAGCCGCGTTATTTCCAGGACTGGAAGCCGTACCGTCTATAGACGGCGTCGCACCAACAATATTTTGGATGTTACCGTCTGGAGGTGTCGGATACAAGCCAGGCGGTACACCAGTATTATTAGATCGCTGTAAAGGCAAAGGAGATAGACCACTGGTATGCTGGTTTTGACCGTCTCCTAGTGTAACTTCACGAGCCGTTGCAGCGTCTCTCTCCTTCTTGTTCTTTATCAGTGTCTCATCCCGTTCCCCCGCGTCTAAAAACCATTGCTTAGCGACCCCCAGAGTGTCATAGTTCCGGTCAAATTCAGACCCCGAGACATCATCTCCTTCGCCTCCAATTCCTAGTCGCGAAAACATCTTACAAAAGCACAAACTGGCAGGCCACGATATGTTTGAAGTACCTACTAGCGGTGTCCGTTTCCCATCTACGTTTTGCTCTGTTGGCTTTCTTCGTATTCGTTGAAGACTAATCCAACTTTGGGATTCACAGAAAGAAGACGGTATGTTACGGGCCTGCAGGAATTTAGAGCAAATATTCCGCCATGGGCCATCGTCCCTTTCAGACCTAAGCCTCACAATCTGAGTATCGGGGGACTGGCCAAAGCTACCTTCGGTAACTACATTATCAGACGTAATGACGGGATGGCAAGTAGCAAATATCCCTAATGGCGCGGCTAAGACAGTAACACCAAGAGACGGAAGAGGATATCCAAGGTTTTCAGACAGGTTTATTATACCCTCCGCCAGGGAAAGTGAAAAAGATATGACAAGGCTGCCAGTTGTTGTGAGATATACGCGTAGGGAAGCGAGGGTCGCAGGAGCAGTCGCGTAGTCGTCATGAGAAGAACTCGAAAGAAGCAGGGTCCGGGAGCTTAGCGGGATAGCCCCAGTGTTGGCACAGAAGCTAGAAGATACCGCAGATAGAGCAGCGCAGATAAAGTGATCGTAGACATCTTTTGTTGACGTCGAGGAAGCGATTTTCGAGTCCATGGGTGGTGGGACTGTCCTCGAATCCTGCTCGCTTGGAGTGGAAAACGATTGAGCCGACGAAAAAGTAGCGGACTGCATACTTCTATACGTCGAATCTAGAGCAGCCGATCCAGTCGAGGATGAGGAGCTTGCTGGAGTGTTGGCGGTATTTGGGCCATGTGTACGACTCTTAACGAGTGTCGCCGATTCAAAGGTGCCCTCCTCGGTCAAGGAAAAGCTGAACCCAGCACTTCCAATCAATTTGGGGAATGTAGGTATTGTTGACTGACCACCCTGCAGCCTGCTCTTCTGCAACAAGTAAAAGCACCATACACCCCGCCGAACCGTATCGTAATATGCCAGGAACCCATCTTTCCGGAGCGCAGTCTCGAGCTCGAGCGCATGGGAACCGAGGGATGTTAAGGTTGGAGAGGCGGGATCGTAGAAGGCAAAGCTAACAGAGGATATATTATTCTGTGTTATAATTACGTTGTAATCAGCGAATGCACTGATACGAATAGATCAGTATGTCTTGGTGTCTTGTACTCACAATTACTAATGTATTAGTCTCATATTCGCCAGTGTCCATATCGTAAATCGTATCAATCATTCCGATGTAGTGCTCGTTTTCGTACAACAAACAGCAGAATTCATATAATCAAGTATCTGCTAACATAAGAAGAGGATACAATGAACAGGGCGAGTTGGATGATTTCGTTTCAATCTCTGAGGTCTCGAACACATGCCGAACTCCATCTCCGCTACGCCTAGTGAAAAAGGGCAATGCGAAGCTGGGATCGGACAGTGAGGGCCGAAGCGGATGGGTAAATAGCTATCGCTTCGTAGGTCGTAGAGTTGATCGCAACATTGGCCGGTTATAGGTATGTGATCATGGCCAGATGGTGTTCTATAGAAGGGATGGCTGAAGATGGCTGAGGAATCTTTAAGGTCCCGGTACAAGTACCTAATTCTATATGTATTTCGGGGCGTTGAGGCTGACACGCGGGCAACTGTGGATCTTACCTAAAGTACCTACCCTGGATCCATTGTTGTGGCTAGGGCCAATCACCTACCAGGCGCAATAAGATGGTGGATCTCGCGTTATGCAAGAATTAGAACTACCTTATCGAACCGAAATATCCACTAAAATTCCGCTTATCGCCCCTCTACTTTCTTTTTCTACCCATTGTCTTTGTCGCGTGCTATTTCTTTCCTCCCCATCATCGTAAAACTTCTGTCGGCAACAATTGTGAATTGTGTCGCCATGAAGGTCACCAACCAAGGAGATGTGTCGGTATACACAATAGCTGGTGCTAACACCGCGCGGCCTTTACCAGATTGGTAAGATAATTAGTATCTTGCCCGAAGAGAATATTGATGCTAACTGGTCTACGCAGGCTTGCACGTCGCCGGAAACGCAGCTTGAAATCGGACCCCGAGTATCAAAACCGAATTGAGCTACTTCAAGACTTTGAGTTTGAGGAAGCCAGCCAGTGTGTTAGAGTTTCGGAGGACAATGATTGGATTATGTCCACTGGAACGTGTACGTCGCAATAATTCCCTATAAAAAATCCTTCGACAACATATTAACGTCTAGGAGACAAACCACAATTCCATGTTCACTACCTACCTCATCTCTCCCTATCATATGCGAGACATACAAAGTCTCTTAATACGACGTTCCTTCTACTCTCGAGCGATTACACGAAATCCCTACATTTACAGAGCGACCGAAAACTTGAGTTCCATGTAAGCATTAAATTTTTCTGAGAGAAGGTGGCGCTTTAGGTGCGAGTGGAATATGTTAACATGCGAAAGACTCCTGCCGGCTGTCACTACGAGTTACGCCTACCTAGATACGGAAGAGACCTCGTTTACGATCGGCATGCTACCGAAGCCTTGGTTCCCTCAGTCGGATTAGATCCCGATGGTAATGGTGAAGTCTTTCGAATGAACCTTGAAGTTGGGAGATTCATGAAGTCATATCAGATTGATGTTGGATCCGACGACGGCGTAGAAGGTGGCTTGCAGGGAAGCATCGGCGTCGGCAGTGTCAATACAGCAGCAGTTGCCGAGAACAGTCATAACCTATTAGCATTTGGTACATCTGTTGGCTCCGTTGAATTCTGGGACTCGCGATCCAAGTCGAGAGTTGCTATCCTTGGCGGCCAGGAGGGTGAGATAACAGCCCTCGACTTTAACCCGACGGGTCTTTCGTTAGCGACGGGCACATCAAGTGGGCTTATTAAACTTTTTGATCTTCGTAGTCCAAAGCCGCTGTTACAAAAGGACCACGGTCCAGGATTTCCGATCAAAAGCCTTATCCACATGACTACGTCTTCTCAAGAGAAGAAAGTCCTATCCGCCGATAAACAGATGATCAAAATCTGGGACGAGCTTGACGGCGAGACTTGGACTTCTGTTGAACCATTAGTCGATATCAATTTCGTCACATGGTGCAAGAATACAGGAATGATCCTTACGGCCAACGAGGGTAAACCTCTTCATAGTTTCTTCATCCCACAGTTGGGGTCTGCCCCGCGGTGGTGTTCGTTCCTCGATAACATGGTCGAAGAGATGGCTGAGGAGGTCAGCACTGATCAATACGACAACTTCAAGTTCCTGACCTTGCCGGAATTGAAATCCCTAAGCCTCGCTCATTTGATTGGCAAAACGAACTTGCTACGCCCTTATATGCACGGTTACTTCGTCGCTTCGAAACTGTACGACCAAGCTCGGTTAATCGCCAACCCTTACGCTATGGAAGAGGAACGTGCAAAACGTATTAAAGACAAGGTTGAAAAAGAGCGCGCTAGCCGAATCCGTGGAAATAAGAAAGTTAAGGTCAATCAAAAACTGGTTGATAAGTTGCTCAAACGACAGGAAAGGAGAGCACATATCGATACGAATGCCGGTGTTCTGGGAGATGAACGATTCACTCGTCTATTTGAAGACGAAGAATTCAAGATTGATGAAAACAGTCGCGAGTTCCAGGTCCTAAATCCTAGCACAAAGGTCGATCCGGAGACAGGTGTAAAAAGTACGGTCCCCGGTCCGAAGTTCTCGGACGAAAGCGAAGACCCCAGCAGCACTAGCGAGAGCGATGATGAAATGTCTCTTAAAAGTACTACGCAGAAGGGAATGGTTATGCGAGTCAGTTCGTCTAATCGGGAGAGTAGCCATTTGTCAAAGGACGCCTCTCTAGGCTCGAGAGTTCAGAAGTCAGGCAGGATCAACAAAACCAGAAATGGCGACGTGGTTGGAGAGAGACAAGTCACATTCGTACCGAATTCCAGGAGGAAGAAGAACGATGAAGCCCCGAAAGCTCAACCAAAAGATAGACGAACTGACCCACGACGAAGTGCTAGTACTAATGTCTTCAGGCGGCTTTGATACCCAGCGATATACTAGCGATATTGATACGAATTTAATAGGTAGTTGGCTCGCTTTCCTGGACTCCATTCTCCAATTACAAGTGAAACCATTTAAAATACCATAACCGACTCGACGCCTATGTCTTCTTCCAAGTAACCATGACTTATCCGAAATAGTCCACACCGCGCGACTATTTATTTCCTCGTCCACTTCTTGCTTCTCTTCTCCGAATTCTCTCTGGTAGTTGACTGGGCAAGGCCCTTCTCAACATCTTCAGGTCGCAATTTAGGCGTTGGTGGTATATCATCCAAGCGAAGACGACCTCGAGATGAGTTACTGGAGGACTCCTTAACCGACCTTGGAAATTCCGATCGGCGGGGCGTGAGCGCAGTGACTACCTTCCTTGCCGAACGACGAATGCTCTCCCTAACCTTCCATTCTCTCTTCTTAGCTAGGTAAAAGAGGACCGCTGTAGAAACTATATCGTGTTAGCTCATTGAAACTAGCCGTGGTGCGGAAGAACTCACTGCCAAGTACACAAACAACGGCAACGACAACTATTATTGCGATTATCGCACCGTGGGAAATTTGAACAACGCCAGGGCTGCTTCCAGCTGCCCCCGCAGAATCGTCAATGCTGCCACCGGAACTGATCGAGCCCGGTCCACTATCGCCTTCGTTATAGGGTTCATCCGTCGCCAGCGGGAATGAGTCTGAAGTAGAGGTCGCCATGGTGAGCTTGGACTAGCGGGGAAGAAAGGAATGTAAGTGAGAGCCGGCACTTTGATTCTTTGTGGAACGACGTGGGACGACGTAAGGCGGCCGCTACAGATTTTGAACAGATCTCATCCAGCCATGCGGGACGATGTTGAAGGTAGGAAGAGAACCAGGATTTGTATCACGCCACATCGGGGCTCTTGGTACTTATGAACGAGCAATTCGTTCTGGTGGAGATAGTTAATTGAGGCGCTTAGAGAGACCATTCTGTAAAGGCATCTTAATGATGTGACAGAATATGCATAGTGGGTGTTGATAGGAACCTAGGTAGTATCTCTAGCTCTTCTATGTAGAGACTTAATGCACCACTGGCAGTTGAGACCTCAGGGGTCCCGGCACTTTTCCATAGTCCTATTGGGTGCCACCAACTCAGACGCAGGAGTTAAGCAATAAGATCTCTTTTATTTAGAAGGAATCAAATTGCTATTGGTAGTTGAAATCTAGCAAGCGCTTAATGAAGGGCGCTTTGGGACTTGACCCCTGGCTATCTGGCCAATCAGCATGTGTTAACAGGGATTTCAGGAGGTACCGTTTCTTGTGGCCTCCAAACGCTGCATCTTGTCACATTTGTCGCCCAAGCTTGTTCCTCGTGGTTTGCTTGTAATTTGCTGGAGAAATTATTGTCACAGGAAAGTTTCTTATAGAACAGTCACTTGCTCAAGGTGGTTATCTATCCGAAGCTAGTTGGGCCGTATCTCCATGTCCACTCGATTATCACGATAATTTCCAATATTTACATGCACATGCTAGGTACCAAGGTATCTTAGAACAGCACGTCATAAACGCTAAATGCTGGCCTTCAATCTTGCATACACCCACGCTTCGAGGTCCATGATAGACTCAAAAATTCCTCCATTTACAACCCAGATAGAATATAATAAAGCCCTACCTAATACAAACAGCATAATGACTTCGCTATAGCTACGCCTGTTTAGTTCATAAGAGGGTCCACCAGTCAAGCATACTGTAACTGTTGTTGTTTAGTGTGACCTTGGTGTATTCCACGAAGGCCTTCATCAGCTCGCTAAACGAGAACTTGGACGTTTCTGATCGCAGGAATTCCCCATAAGCCACCTCCCATCAAACTTAATTTAGAATTATCTACGCATCGCTCTCCCAGAAAAGCGCCTATTCAGTAATGCGTCTGTGATCTCAGGCTCCAACTCACTCATGTCGTCTCAAAGACGCGTCTGATTGCGTCTAGATCAGCTTTCCAGATGGCAGATACACTTCATTTTCTAAAAATCGGTAACTGAGACAGGCCAATATATCGGCCTGCGTTTATTGAATGGCACCCGAATCGTATGTTTCCTAACCGGATCCCAGAGATACCGATGCCGTGCTATGCTATGCTACGCCATGCTATCTATAGCAACAAATTTCGCGATGTTACTGTTACACTGCTGCAGGAGATACAACCATCTACGCCGGTGATTAGTCATGTAATAGCAGTGTAGGATAACTCTGTTCGACCAACCCGTCGTAGACTTACACCAGTTAGCCCTATTCTGATTCAGCATGTTCGTGAACGAAAATAGAGTCACGCTTCTATGTAGCAATTTGACACGCCACTGTTGCCTATATGCTAGCTTTTATATTAAGGTTACTTATTATATCTTTTTATGTCCATACCAAGAGTACCAAGAATACTTAGGGGTCAAGTCACAGTTCCTTGCGATGAACTAACTAGAAATTAACCAGTCTTTGAAACTATATAAAAGTATAACTATACCTAACTACGGCACCTAAGGTATATATGGGATGTGTATCCAGTTTTATATTTCATATACAAGGCTCAAGCTCTATTTATAACAGTCTTCTTAGAAAACATAGTGCTTTCACTTCATCGATGAATTCTTAGGTCACTGCATGTAAGTCGGGTAGCTCTGTATTTGTATATCGTATTGGTTTCTCGGATTACATAACCTCTTGCATACAAGGTACCTAGGTATTTAAAGTTAAAGTACCTAGATCCTTATAGCTGTAGAATTACCTATAAGCATACTCCTTCTGTCCATATTATTAGGGCAGTAGCTTTAGTCATTGGGGACTAGCAAAATCGGTAGTATGTGTTTAAGGCAGTTACACAAAAAGGCAATTCCAGGAGGTGAGAGCCACCTACGGAGTGCCACTTCCTGGACCCTACAGTCAATATTATCAAAAATTCAAAAGATTGGTTCAATTGAAAGTTTATCCACCTCTCATCCTCAGCTCACATCGCCCATCATGCTTTGAACCGCGGAATGGTATAATCTTTCGGTGCAACAATCATTCTCGTTCATTACACCGGGGAAGACGACGTGCTATCCTACTAATATTTCACCTCTGATAATTTGATCGAGTGTTAAAGACCCAATACTCAGCATGCCGCGAGAGGCCCCTGAGTATAAGTCGGATGCGACAGGCCAAATGTCTGATATATATGCTGATCGTAGTTCTCAAGCGATATTCAGTCAGGCCAATCTCGTTCAGCCACTAGAGGACTCACAAGACACGAATAGCAATGTCATAACTAAAAGTACACTATTAGAGGCATCATCTCAGGATGCTCTCCCTACCCGGGCTACAGAGGCAAGCTTTTTCATCCGTCCGGTACTGGAAACAACTGAGGAGATAGGGGCCGCATTCCAATTTCAAAAGGCGCCGCCTCCTCGTACGATATCCCACGGCCCAGTTGGAAAACAAAGAAATCCAACCCCCCCTCATCCCCCTCCTCCCGTGATCAATAGAGTCTCACATAGTGGTCCAAGTCCCGGGGTTTCTGGCTTTAATAGTCATGATAGGCCAGCGCAATCTCTGACATCAGCAAGCGATAGAGATAGAATAGGAGAATATTATGATGACAATAAAGATGATGATACAGTCGACATGATAGTATACCCCCGAGAAGACCCAAAGAATGCTCCCAGTAGCGATCAGCCGCCCGTCGGCAACTCATCAGGCTCGTCGGGCTTAACATCCACTAAAGACTTGTTTGACTTTCCTTTCCCAGACAATACTAGCCGGCCACGTTCTGGAGGGAAGACGCAGGCATCTCGCTGTTCTCCTCTGACGAATGTTCAATTACCGAAGGCAATCTCGGATACCCGTCGAAAAGCTTTTGCGCAAATGAGCCCTCGTAGTGTATTGGCACGAACAAATGTTGCATTATCATCTACTTCTAACCCCCAATCGACGCGACCAAGAAGCACACCAGATAGGGCGGTTCCATCCGAGACAAGGGAGTGCTCAGATATCCACAAGAAACCTCGGAGTGATCATCAACTCCCAAAAAATATTGGTGTCAATGAAACCAAACGTGGTTCTACGAAGGATCTTCGAAACAGGCGAAATAAAGTCCAGGGTCTCACGCGACCCATATCATTTGAGGCATCAGAATACGATGTAGTTTCCGCAGTGAGACCGTGTTCTCAAGCATCTAATACTTCGAAACCACGAGCTCCTCCTAGAGACAGTTACAAACGATACACCCCCACACGCGAGCAGAATAGCAGGAACTTGAAGAAATTCGCAGAATCTTGGAACACGAACTATCTCTACAATCAAAGACTACTAGATCGTTGGGAGCAAAAAATGTCATTACTCGAAGACTATATTGCATCTCAAGATTTAGTTATTGAGCAGTGCAAGGGAACAATCGCGTGTCGTGATCAAAAGATCGATGATTTGTCGACAGAAGTTGAAAATCTTCGTACTCAAAAACAGGAGATTCAAAATAAGATAAACATATCTTCTGATATACGCAAGAAACTGGAGGATAAACTGAAGTCTTGTCGAATCCGTTTAAATGATGCAATCGGCGAACAACAACGACTTTTTCTACAATGTAGGGAAAATTGCCAAATGGCGACTGCAGATATTAAAGCGGAAGAGAAAGCACAGAAAGAGTCCTTAGACAAGGCGTTTATGACACTTGAGCGCCTAAGAACAGGAATTAAGCAAGAGGTTGCTGGGGTTGTCAAAGATACCAAAGGGCAAGCCGACGAACGTATGTAAAACAGTCCCTCATAAAACACTGATACTAACATGTGATAAGTGAGCAAGACCATCAAGTCTCTCGAAAGCGAGCTAAGAGATCGTGAGGTGGAACTTGAACGCGAAAAACAGCACAGCCAGGATCTTACCGAGCAGCTGTCCCAGTTTCAAAAACTTAATGAGCATTCGCTCCAGTTAGTATCGGCACAGAATAAAGAGTTTTTGGACCAAATGAAACAGGATCGGAAGCATGTTGAGAATACCGAGACTCGTATTCAAAAACAAGACGAAAAGTAAGGATTCCCCATTCGACCTAAGTCTAATCTTACTAACTTCATAGGCTTAACATGATCCTGAAGACGCTGGAACAGACGAACTCAAAAACTGTGGACCCCATGGCAGTAATGGAGAAATTAAGAGAAGCTCATGGTAGCATAGCTGCAGCGTATGCGTCTGAATAATTCTGAAGAGTGTATAGTGCTAACAAGCTATTAGGATTGTCGCAAAATTCCAAGATTCTGTCGTATTAACCCATAACTCTGTACTTGAGGACCAAGAAACCTTAAATGAAAGTATTGGGGAAATTCGTTTGCTATGCGAAGGTATTTGGGAGAAATTGACCGGACTCGATGATGTTGCAGTATGGCAAGAGAGGGCACATGATTCTGACATGGCTATCAATAGCCATATCCAGCATATTCAAGACCTACAAGATGAATTACACCAACTATACATCCGTATAGGTGAGCAGACGGGAGAGCGTCAAGAGCTCGAGAGGCGGTTAGCGATTGCTGCAGCCAATGAGCAAACTACAAATGAGAAGATCAAGACTCTCGCAGAGCAGACTGAGCGTTTACAAAGAACAATAGGCGAGAAGGAGATGAAAGTACTCGAATCGGACAAAAACCTCGAGGTAGTTCAGGAAGAATTGAGAAAGCAAGCCCGCGTTGCTGAAGATAGGGAGAGACAAATTCAAATTGAGCGCGAGAACCACGAAAAAGCAATCGAGCTTAACGTGCAGCAATCCAAGCAAGAAGTATCCCGGGCCGTTACCGAAAGGACAAAGGAGCTTACAGAGAAACATCAAACCACAGAAAAGCGCCTCGAAGAAGTAGAGGTGGCTCGCGCACAACTTGTGGAAGAGCTAACTAAATCACAACAAGAAGGAGAAATGCGCAGAGTCAATCTTGATAGAGATATACGCCAAATACGAGGCGAAGTTTTGAGGGCAACTACCTCAATAAATAAGATGACCGCCGATCTGGAGGAAACCGGGAATGAACAGGAAGCTTTACGAGGGAGTCTCGAAGGATGGTCGCGTGGTCGAGTTGAAGTTGATCAGATGAAATATATACTACGGCGACTAGCAAGGGACCAACCTAACGCAATTCTGATGAGTGACCAGTTGAAGCAACTTTTAGAAATTCAGAAAAAGGTGTCAGGTACTTTGGCGTATCACCAAGCGAAGGTCATCAATGCAGAAGCAGGTGCTAGTGACCAAAGCCGATCAACAAAATCTGGAAACAGTTCTATATCGACGAGCAATCTACAGGACAACATGCCTCATGCGCAAGAAGCGTCTCAAGATCTTAAGCGAAAGGTAATGGTCAAGTCTCCGGTTACTGTGGACGATCGCGTATCTCCGATGTCTGTTGAACAAGAAAGGAGTACTAGACGACACACAGTTCCCCTGCGAGGGATTATGAAGGTCATCACCAATGATATTTTGGGAGAAGCGGAAGGAGGAGAAAACACACTGGAAGCGAATACCCATGTGCCAGTAACACCACAGCTCCCCTCCAAGCGGAAGATAGCGAGACGTGGTTCAAAGACCCCTCTTACTACTCATAGCATATATAATCGGCCTGTGGCCGGATCTATGTTAGAAGTGGACAGTGAACAGGTGGAAGCGAACCAAGCTGGCCCCAGCGGGCACACCAATCACAATACCATCATTTACGACTTGGCACACCCTGACAGCAGTGCTAATGAGCCTCCAGCGAAGAAGCAGCGTATTTCAAGGACCATACAGCACGAGGCCCAGGGGTCCAATATCGCAGAAAGAGTCAAGTTATCCCGCTCTATGTCTAGTTACTTTTCGGCTCGGCGATCAGAAACCAAAGAACCAACTAAGGGAGCATCGTTAGATTCGAGTGCACCCTCACGTCGCGGGGGTCCAATGAAGAGAAAATCCTCTGGACTAGTCACCTATGGCTCGCAAAATCTTAACCAGGAGTTATCGCACAGCCAGTCATCCGTTATATCGGGTACTACGGAAGAGGCCGATAGCCAGTCGACTACAGCGTCTTGCCAAACAATAGAGTCGACAGACAACCAAGCTTAGGAACAAGATGTTCTAGAGGACTAAGGCCGTAGTAAGTTTTGCAATTAGAAACTGCAATGAGCATCAGAAACCCAGGAACTCACACAAGGTCCTATTTTGCTTCCAAAGCGCTTATGAAATTTTGCTTTGACAATGTCGTGTATTGTGGGAGATGGGAAGAATATTTATATCCTCGCTAAGCTTTGCTTCAGATACCTGCTCTCCAAAATGATAAAATATAAAGAGGTATGCATTTTCACAGCAAAGCTTTAATCTGGTATTTTGAAGGGCGGTAGTCAAGCTTAATGCAGTAATGAATATTTTACCTTCCTTGATATGCGCCGCCTAATACACGGTGAACATCCGTAGAGGCCATAATAAAATAGCTCTCGCTCCAGTACTGTACAGATATATACATACAACCCTTGGAGATGTTCGCAGAGTCTGCTTAGGCCAATCCTTCTACGCATCAGATTTTTTGAAGCGGCTGGAGAGTCATGGCTCCATATGATGGGCGCATGATATTCGAGGCTTCACTACTCATCGTGAAAAAGGGAAGCTTCGGATATTGAGACGGGGGTCGAGTTCGAACTGTTTATTTCCCTTTCCGCTTCTGTTCGAGAAATAGCACCTTTTTACGAACTGTAGTACACACCGGAAAGTTAGCTGTGAGTTTGACTTTCATATACATCCTCTTCACCCATCTTCGTCTCGCATTCGGGGTATTCGGGTAAAATCCACGTTTTGAGGGCTCGCGGTATGCTTCCCTACAACATCTGGGGAGTGAGAAGTAACGTACCGACAGGGTCGTATTTTAGCATGCTCATGGGCCGCGACGTTCGCGGACGGGAGTATGTGTAGAAGAAACCGGTCATGGCCATGGATAGAAGGCGCACGGAGAGCAGACGAGTCTTGGCTACTTCGGAGTTAGCAAGACGCTATTGCTAGGATGGCTTGACGTACGTTTCTTCGCCATTGTCTAGGATTGGCGACCGTCGGGCGGTTAACGGGTTTGTTTGAGGGTTCGAATTGAACGAGGACGTCAAATGTGGATTGTTCACGATGTCACAATTCAATGCGACCAAGTTTTTGGTGGAGCTTAGCCTGGTTGTGTGGACATGTGGCTGGTGCTAGTGCTAACGGGCTGTGCGGAACCCCACCTGGGCATTATCGGAATGCTCAAGCCACATTTGATATAATAAGTCCCGCGGCATCTACGGACTGGAGCCGACGGCAGTTGGACCTTGCATCTTATTAAATCCCGGGCTTAACCAATTTGCGATTTCGCACTCCAGCACCTTTTTCTTGACTCACTACCTGAATAATAGAAGTCTGGATGTATGGTCCAACACGCCCTGTATGTACTTGGCTGCTTCGCTGCTTCGTCTAGCTACATTTTAGGCATTCATAAAATCTGTTAACCTCCATTAGCGATCGCATGGACTTTCCAGAATGGACTTAGCTGCCGATTTTCTCTAGGTCATGCTGACCGATCGGATCTAGCATAACGATCGTTTACATCAAAATTCAACCAATAATGTATTTCCTATTTGTCCATGCTATATACTTAGTTCTTGGTATCGATGCTGTAGGTCTATTTTCGACCCATTTAGGGATTTGAACGAGTATCTTAAGATGGATCCGGTATAAGAATTATAATACCTAGGCTAGAACAGACTCATGACTCAGGCATAGGTACATGACTCTGCATAATTGTTAATAGCACACAAGGCTATCAGTTATATCCAACGGAAATTTACTGTCTATAAGTCATATACCCAGCTGTTTCGACAAGTTTAAACTATAAGTTCAAGAGCAAACTTCAAATAGCCCCTTCAAAATGCCTTCTATCGATCTTGAGTACCCCAAGCAACCTTATAACAAGGTTAACCGATATGACTCTCGAGGTAACGCATATAACTAACATCTAAAGTTGGGTGGTTTGCTAATATCTCCCAAGCTACCTATGCTCTGGAGACCATCCACCAGATAGTGAACGCCTGTCCTATTCTCCATGTCTCCTTTACCGTTCCTAACTCCCCCTTTCCTACGATACTGCCTATGATAGGTCAGATGGGCTCGTTTGACCGGCCTAGCGCGGATACGGGGGATGTACTCGAGCTTTATCTCCACGGTTACGTTTCATCGCGGCTCATAAACATGTCGCGAAACGCCACCAACGACACCGCCTCGTCAGGGGAAGAAGAGGGATTGCCAATATGTGTGGCCGCCAGTCAAGTGGATGGCCTGGTCCTGGCGCTCACCCCGAACTCGCACAGTTACAACTACCGTTCGGCATCACTGTTCGGGTACGCGAAGCTGGTGACTGATATCGAGGAGAAGCAATACGCCATGGAACTCATCACCAACTCAGTAGTCCGCGATCGCTATCGCCACACTCGCGTCCCACCCAACGCCGCCGAGATGCAGAGCACCAGCATCTTACGCGTCAAGATCTCCGCCGGCAGCGCTAAGCTCAGGACTGGCATGCCCAACGACGACAAGGCAGATGTGGAGAACGGCGAGCTACTGGACAAGGTGTGGACAGGCGTAGTTCCCGTGCACTACACTCTGGGAGAGCCAATCCCCGGACCGTATAATAGGGTGGAGATGCCGTCGTACTTACGAGAGTTCGTCGCGGATTCTAATCACTATGCGAAGGAGCTCGCCGTGGTGGATGCTATGAAGCCAATGGCAGCGAAGCCGAAACATCATGATGATGCCTGATTTTGCTCTAGCCCGTGGTGGCGTTTCCTAATTGTTAAGCGTTGTGCCTATTATTCCCATGGAAGAATCTCGATGTTGAAACTGGCCGGCCTCATATTAACTATCACATATAAGGCCTGATTTCTCGTTAGCAATTATGGCGTCGTTTTTGCGATAATAACAAAGCAATTCACGTTATAACATATTCACTATTTCGTATTAATAAGTATATGGTTGTTCGTTTATGTTGAAGCAGAATCAATGCAGGTAGAATCGCAAGTACTAAACCTACCAAACCCAGGTATCTCAATAAGACCGTACATATAAGTCGGACTTTTTCCTCTACACGTGAAGTTCAGTTGGATAATAGCATCACTCACACAGCTCATGTACTGGTTTTCTTTTTGAGTAGAAACTGGGGAAATGCATTTTCCAATACTACTCCTAGATCGTTAGGACCGGTATCATCCTATACCAGGCTATAAATCAAGTAAAACATGCCGTCGGATCGGCGCCTACAGGTTACTAGATACATAGGTGCTTACCTACCTAGGTATCTATGAAGGTAGTAGAGATAAATCGTACGTGCTATCGGTTAGTGAAATAATTGGTTGTTTACTTGTCTAAGGCATACTCACGTTCGCATTATCCAACATCCAACATGCTTCTCCACCTAGCAGTATTTTCTTCTATACTTACTAGAGCATAGTCCTTTCTTTTTAGCAAATTTTAATTGCCTGTCTGTTGGAGAACAGTGCTATCACAATTGTAGCAGTCCCGAAAACCTTCTTCTATTATATCGTTAATATGGAGGCCTTAGCAGCACTAGGTGTTGCTGCAGCAGCTGTGTAACTATTTGATTTTTCACGAACTCTTATCGGAGACATTAGGACTGCTCAAGAAGCAGGAAAACTCAAATCCATCCAATATGTCCTGCAAAACGCTACCAGAGACATAGCCGATTTAAGCGAAGTATTCCAACATCGGGCAGGTCACAGTTTAGACATAGATGAGCGAGTCTCTAAACAATAAAAGGTTGGTGATTGAAATGGTTCTAAGAAAAGGAGCTAACAAGGGGCGAGGCGCTGGGCGACGTATTCACTCATTGTGGCATAGTTGCAAGTGAGCTCATGAACCTCTTAGAAGAACTGAGACCTGTATCCAACGAGTCAATATGGGCAAACTTTCGACGTACAATCAAGTATAGGAAGGTAATGAAAAAGGCCCAAGGGCTTGAGGAACAAACTACGGTTTACCGGGGCGAGCTAACACTTCAGCTCCTATTGATATCACGCTCTTACACTGAATAAAGCATGACCTGTTCTAATCAACAACATGTCACTGCTTCTCCTACGCAATTAGATATTTGTGACCTAGGGATATGTCAGCCACCCATGGAAGCAGATCTAACGTCAGAGTCACCGTAAGAGAAGGACCAAACCCCACAAGCTGAGGCTATATATCTTTCAGAAAGTTCTCCTGTACTAATGAACGAACAGACCCAAAGTATCGTATGCCACCTTTAGTTCTTTCGCGATGATCCAACCTAGTCCCCACCGCAGAAAAGGAGACATATTTGGTTTTATGATAGAAAATAAACATCCTGTATTGAAAATGCTCATACGCCAGTTTTACGGACTCGATTATTCGAATATACACTATATGGGTAGGTAACTACTTAGTTTATCACAGGCAAGTACATGAAATACCCGCAGTAGCGTTACCGCGCTCACCAATTCTGCCAGATATAGTTCGGTATCACGGTCCGCATTACAGCCCAATGGCCCAGAGCGCCTTGATCGTGCCACTTCTCCAGCTTCTCGGTCTCGTTCACCCTAAGAACCCCCGCATCCGCGGCAGCAGCCAAGAAGGCCGATTCCTTCACCTCGTGCTTGGGCAAGAGGTACGCCCTCCTGGCAAGACTACCGAGGTAGTCGGCCTCGGTGGGTTTTCGGAACGTGACTTTCTCTCCTGTCTTAGTACAAAAGACGATGACGTTGTCAAAATCGCGGCCGGCCTCTTCAACTGCCTCCGCGGAAGGCGCTTCACTTTCTCTGAAGACACGGCATGAGGGGAAGACTTCCCTAATCGTGTTCATGACAATGCCAAGTGGGGGTAGAGTGAAATCACCAGCATAGTTCTAAAATTATTAGTTCTAATGTAATTGAAAATGCATGCACTCAGGAAGACTTACAATAGCTATGACACCATTGGGCTTTAGCATGTGTCTTAAGCCTGATAAGAATTCGTAAGTAAATAAAGGTATTGGCTCTGCGCCACCCGTGAAGACGTCATGGATGATATAATCGTAATATTCATGGAGGATATCCTTATTAGACTGGCTCCAGGAGATTGCGTCTTGAATCACAGCTGTGTGATTCAGGGGTAGCCCAAAGTATTTCTTGGCAAAGTCATATACTACGGGATCGATTTCGACAATGGTCGTATCTATCCCATGAGCTATCAGGGCCGATGGTGTAGTTCCGATACCAAGGCCACTAAGATATTATTAGTGACTAAAGATATTCATAAAGACGGGATACTTACATATTTAGAGCTTTTGCTTCGTTGTCAGATGCTTTGTTCTGGATTGGAATAAGACGCACTGCCTCGAGTTGGGTAAATACGCTGTAAATGGGTTCTGCAACAATTTTCCGGCCGAACTTGGTCCACTCGCCGCCAAGTAGACTATGGTCGCACCTCATAGTTCGGAATCCGTCCTTATGATTGTTTAGTACTGAGATATACCCGGTGTTAGACTCCCATCGATCGACTAACGACCACCCACTAGCCTGTAGGGTTGCGTTTAAAGAGCTAGTAGCCATCGGGGTCATGAGATGCGTATTATAAAAACCAGCATGCAGGATCGCCGGGATGGTCCAGACGAGGAGCTTAGACCGGGCCATAATGCTATAAGTCGTGGCCAGCACCAATTCTAAACCCACACGCGTCTGCGGCAGCGATTTGCCAATCTGTTCAAAAAGTTGCTGCAGCGTTTCCTTTTCAACAAACTTGAAGAATGCATAGGAGCCCAGACCTGGCGCGGAGCCGGCAATGGACTTTGGCAAGATGCTTAGATCAACGTTTTCGAGGACGTCTGCTATACACGCCGTACTAAGTACAACTAACGGGAATAACGTAAGAGCTTCGGTGATAGCTGGTCCCAGCTCCGCACCGAAGGTCTCACTCGCCTGGAAGAGGAAAAACTGGGCCATAGGGACATATGCGGCTACTAGGGGTAGTAGAGTAATTGTTTTGAAAGGCAAGGTGCGTCTCAGAACAACGTTAACCCCCCATCCTACAAACAAGGCCGACCATACTACTCTCTGATGTAGCCTAGTCGCGGCGATTTGGCCGTAGACAGGCGACAGCGTCAGCTGGGAGACATTGGCATAGACGGCCATGAGTATGATGAGGGCTGCTGCCTTTACATAAACAATAGCTTGTTCGATAGCCCAATTGATCCAATTCTCCTCTTTAGCTTGGCCAGCTAGTACCTTAAGCTCTTCTTCGAACTCTTCCTTGGTCTCCGCAGGCTTCTTTGGTCCTCCACCTCCCGTTTGGGACGCCCCCTTTTTCGGGGTCTGTTTTCGTGGAGGCATAATGAGATGAATAAATGAAAATCAGCTAAATTCGCTAGTTAATATGTAAGCATATAGAACAAGACTACCTAGCTATAAAATGAACAAAGAATGAGAATTGTGGCTCTTAACAGCCTGCTGTTAGAGCTCTCATATCCTTTATCTTACTTCTTGTATGGCGTTGAAGTGTTTTATAGGCTGAGAGGATCGAAGTGAACAGATGTCTTGATAATTCAATAAGACGGAGTTCTTTACACACTGGTATTTTTGGTGGATCTTGTGGCAGTGGAGATACATAGGTACCTATCTTAGGTACCTAACCTTAGGCAGGTACCTAGATACATAATTGTGGCTAGTTTGACCCCCAAATCTGACGGGCGCTAAGTCCTATTCAGTTTAGGTCGATGACTCCGGGTGCCTGCATATCTTGTCCGTCAATTGCTGGCCTACGAGTTTCCTCCTTACATATTGCGAAAATGGACGACGATGATGACTTCGGTGCCGACGCAGATTTTTTATCTGCTTTAGCCTCTTCTGCAGCTGGAAGCAACTCTAGTCAGGCTAAATCCCAACCCACTACGAACCGTGTTCAGCAACCCGTTCCCCAAAGAATCCAACAGCCAACTCCTCAAAGGATACAGCAGCCGACGCCTCAACGTTTAGACAAACCACCACCGGCCTCTAACTCGGCTACGCCTAAGATTGTTCAACCGACACCTCAAGCTCTCCCACAGCGCTCATCCGGTTCTTCAATTCTAGTATCCCCGCGCCAAAAAGGGAACCCCGTACTAGCATCCCTACGTTCAGTGGCATGGGAGTACAGTGATATTCCCGCCGATTATGGGCTAGGGTTAACAACATGTGCCCTATTTTTAAGCCTCAAGTATCATCGGTTACATCCCGAATACATTTATACCCGAATTCGCAATCTACAGGGGAAATACAATCTGCGCATCCTCTTAACTATGGTCGATATACCTAACCACGAAGATTCCTTGCGCGAACTCTCTAAGACCTCATTAATCAATAACGTCACCATAATTCTTTGCTGGTCCGCTGCTGAGGCCGCGAGATACCTCGAATTATACAAGTCTTACGAGCACGCGAATTTCAGCGCTATTAAGGGGCAGCAAGCTACGGGTTACGCCGAGAAGCTCGTCGAGTTTGTCACGGTACCTAGAGGGATCAACAAAGCCGATGCTATTTCTCTTGTCAGCGCATTTGGTAGTCTGAAGAACGCAATCAATGCCGATCCCGAGCAGGTTGCTATTATTGGCGGCTGGGGAGAGAAGAAAGTCAAAAGATGGTGCAGCGTTGTGGAAGAGCCGTTCCGAGTTCAACACGCAGCTAAGAGACGCCTTGTTGACGAGAGCAACAGCGCTGCCGACAAAGCTATTCCGTTGAGTCGAGTGCCATTGAGGGATATGCCTCGTGTATCAGCACATCTATCTCGAGGCAGTGCTACTACAGAACCACAAGGTAAACCGCCCTCGGAGCCTAAGCAGGACCACCAAAGTCGAGATGCTGCTATAGATGAGTATGATGAGGAAGTAATGCTGGCGGCGGCCATTGAAGAATCTAAGAAGACAATGGTACAGGAGCAGCCGTCTAGCTCGACCTCAAAAGCACACGAGGAAGACAAACTGAGCGAGGGAATAGCCGCGGCACTCGCAAAGCTCAGGGATAAGGGATAAGGTATGATGATGATACCTGCCTAGTTTGGGTGGGCTAGGCCTAACGCTCGGAGCGTCCCGAGCAGTGCTATCTCTTAGATGCGAGGGTGCGACTTGAATAGCCTAGCAGAAAGCAATGGCGTTCATGAGAAGGTATCACAGTAAGGAAGAGCATGTGCATATTCCCATATGATTCCGGTCAGGTCATATATCGTCCAGTGTAACCAATCACCTTGAAGTCCAAGAGCTACATATACTAATAACGCAAGGCGCCAGTGGGGTTTGCTTGGCGGATTTTCCCAGGGAATATTAGTCGAGGCGGTCTAGCTGCAATTCAGGTTTGTCTTTAGCTTGGGAGATCCTCGTAGGAATTATGCACATACGCATTCCTAGGTAAATTCCGCGGACAATTTCTCAAAGATCCCTTGGATATTCTCCGGGTTTAAAATATGATGTTGTGGAATAGCTTCGCAGCAGCAGATCCAGGGTTAAATTATTACAAGTAGCACGTCAAGTCAACCACGAATCGGATTAGAAAAGATCCTGCATCAAAACTACATATGTATAATACACCTTAGGTATCTAAGTTAGATATATGTTGGTTCACTCTATAGTGCATATACGATATATGTACAACAGCTACGCGTACATAGGTGGAGTTCCACGATGAAATGCGGCCATGTATGGGTAGGTACCTAGTGTACCTACCTATCTATATATGTATGTGGATGAGCCCATCATCGATCGGTACCTGCGAGAATCCGAATCTTTAATTTCGGCGGTTTGTACCCCCTTTTCTCCCTTTCGCATGGGTTCCCCGCACGTCAGCTTAGATAAGAGGTGAGTTAATTCTTACCTCGACCAAATTTTGCCTACGAAATGCCGATACTAATCTTTAGTTTTGGGGTAAGGTAGGTACCGGAGCTTAATTAAAATAGTTGGGGTTAGTTTAGTGGAGGCGCTAAATAGCGCGGGGGAGAGGTGTTGCCTTTGTACATTAGGTAGGCACATACTTGCCAACATCAAGCACTAACTCAGTAGCCCTAGGTAGCTTCCCTAGGCTAGACGCCTTCGTCTATGCCCTATTAATTACAGGAGACATGCGCTGACCTCATAGCGCAGACATAGTTAAAAATCTTAATTTAATCTTCCGCTTATACACGTTCCTAGCACTGGTTCCTCAGCATAAATTCCTAGTCTAAGACAAAAAGACAAACCCCCCATCACAAAATGCAATAGTATGATATTTCCCGTCCAACCTTGCCTTAGTAATTCATCAAGCAGATTTTGCTTGTGTCTTGGTCACAAGACATTAAACCTGAAATCTCCACCTCTTTACCATAATATTATTTACGGCCCGTTATCCTCTTCCCTAATCCTGCTTCCTAGGCGACATCTCTTGGACCTGCAGATCCGTTGCCCCTTTCGGAAGGTCACACGTTTTCTTAATTATCAAGTATCCGCCATCTCGACTATTTGCCCAGAATACGGGTACTAGTAAGTGATTATCGACCTGGGATTTTAACTGGTAACGTTTCTCTCCCTTCCTCGCCGGACGGACTTCTAGCTCTACCTAATTAGGGCACTGTCTAAGCGCTCTATCATATGAGCTACTAAGTATTCGGGGTAACATATTCGTGATGTTCAGTCTGTGCCACATGGCCCATTTTGAGTGAGACCTGGCATCCTCGTGCTTCTAGTCTGTGATCATCAAAGTAGCATTGCAGAAAGCCTGAGCTTGCATGCCGAGCGTGCTTGAACCTCCCTGTCTTGTTGGATGGCACTAGAGATTTGACCCCCCGACCCCAATAAACTTGCGAGCCGCAAAGACACCGCTCGGTCCATATTGATACATATTGATAAGACTGCAAGCTTAGGTTGGCTGATCGTGGTGTTGGTTTATGTTACCAAGCCACATACCCTCACATCAACATCCACACACATACGTAACGTACAGGCATAATCTACAGGCATGATATACCCCTGTTGTTGCAGTCGAATTATGAGTTACCTTCCGCCCAAGCTCTTGGTCCCTCAGTCCCTCCAGCTGCTGATTTAGTTAACCTAGTAGATATGGCCTATGCAGGTGACAGACATTCGCCTTCTGTAGCAAATTGTCAAAACCCCGAGGCCCCATGTCTAAGTAGTTCACATACCGCAATGCTCAGACTTAGTATAAGACTCGCCTATATTCCCTCTTCTTATCTCCTTTCCTCATTCCTGCTGTCAGCCATTTAACCCCCTTGGCTTAGTCGGCAGGCTCATTCTCTCGTGTTCTCGTCATATTTAGAAATAGTTGGACTTATCGCACATCACACGACTATGGTGAACACTAAAAAGGCTCTCGCCTTTCTAGGCAGTGCCTCTTATGCCATAGCCCAGCCTTCATACGTGTCTCATCCTGACAGAGCTGATGCTGTTAAGGCGGCGTTCCAGCGTTCTTGGGACGGCTACTACCAATACGCGTTCCCTAACGATACCTTGAGGCCTATCTCAAAGACATACCAAAATGATCGGTATGTGAATATCTTAAAGCTGTTTTTGAGCGTGGACTGACTGAAGTGACAGAAATGGATGGGGAGCCAGCGCGGTTGATGCCATTTCTACGGCCCTCGTGATGGGAAATGGAGATGTGGTCAACGCTATTGTAGACCATATCCAGTCCATTAACTTTAACGCCACTGCTCCCGGCTCAGAAAGTGTTTCCGTATTTGAAACTACTATTCGCTACTTGGGCGGTCTCCTCTCAGGTAAGCCAGCGAGAACCGCCCTCAACATAACAATTAGCTAACTATACACAAGCATACGATTTTCTGAATGGTCCTCTAAAACAATACGCAAAGGACCAGTCGTCCGTTGACAAGATTCTTGAGCAAGCAATTAATCTAGCTGAAATTCTCAGCGTGGCTTTCGATACCCCCAGCGGAGTTCCCATAAACACGCTGATCTACAGCTCAGACGGGTATCACGTCGGTAGTGATACCACCAACGGTATTGCCACCATTGGAACTTTGGTACTTGAGTGGACTCGCTTGAGTGATATCACGGGAGATGATAAATATGCAAAGTTAACACAGGTCGCTGAGGACTACCTTCTCAACGTACGCAACCCGGAAGTAGGCGAGCCGTATCCTGGATTGATTGGAACCGATGTCAAAGTTTCCGATGGAACCTTCGCAGACTCCAGCGGCGGCTGGAATGGCGGTACGGATTCATTCTACGAGTATCTCATCAAGATGTATGTCTACGACCAAGACCGTTTCGGCGTTTACAAGGACCGATGGATTGCTGCCGTCGACTCCAGCATCGAGTACCTAGCATCTACCCCGACCACTCGCCCCGATTTGACATTCCTTGCTGCCTATAGTGGATACGACCAGCTTGACTTCGTGTCAACTCATCTTGCGTGCTTCGACGGAGGCAGCTTTATTCTCGGTGGCTTGACCCTCGATAGTGATAAGTACGTCAAATTCGGACTCGACCTTGTGAATGCGTGTCACGAGACCTACCTCGCGACCGTCACCGGTATTGGACCGGAGGTTTTCTACTGGCAAGATAGCAAGGTAGCAACCAATGCTAGTAACAATGGCCCGCCCCCACAGGAATCTGCCAGCTTTTATGAGACTGCTGGCTTCTGGATCCCATCCGGCGGCGCGAGCTACGTGCTGCGGCCCGAGGTCATCGAAAGCTTCTACTACGCGTACCGCGCGACTGGAGACACCAAGTACCAGGACTGGGCTTGGGAGGCGTTCCAGAACATCAACAAGACATGCAGCGCAGGTGTTGGATACAGCTCCATCGATAACGTGAATGTCGAAGGCGGCGGTGGATTCGACGATTTCCAGGAGAGCTTCTGGTTCGCCGAGGTCCTGAAGTACAGCTACTTGATCCAGGCGGACGACGCGGCGTGGCAGGTCAATGCTGGCCACGACAACACGTGGGTTTTCAACACGGAGGCGCACCCTGTCCTAGTCAAGGGTAAACCAATCTAGACTCACATGTAGAATTGGGCAGACCAAGAAGCATGTGTATATGAGTATTCAGTAGTAGCAGTCAGGGATTAATTAGTCTTGCATTGGGTCGGCGTTGGTTGATCAGTTCTTGTATATATTTAGGGGTACTTTCGAGGCCTACATTTAGGCAATATACCATCCAGTTTTCAATACCTTGTGCGGCTGAATGCAATAGCACCTCGACGCCGTGTCACTATTCTCCGTATTATTCATTCCATAGCGACGCATCGATCACAATCATACCTATAATATCATATATGGAGGCACAGAAAACAACTCAGCTTATTTACTCGTATTAGTAAGTTGGAATTCCTGTCTCCTAATGTATCTGCACTATTGGCGGCACCGTCTGGCATGTGCCACCAAGTCTCATGCTAGGAGCCGAGACACGGCTGTACTGTGCCCTCGGAGCTATTCACAACAACATTCCGACCAGCTTCCGATGAAGTAACGTACTACATGGATACAAGGCTTGTTTGTCCCTCGGGCGTATTGCTTCTAAAAATAATGAAATGGAAAGAAGCGGGTCCGGGTTGCAAATGCGAAATGCGAAATGGAGATTGGCGGCGAGGGATGTAAACTAATCGGCGTGGCTGGGAATTCGAAGAGCAAACCATCAAGACAATTACCAAACTGTTCTTCTTAGGAGGTAGGTAGCCGTATTACCTATTTTAAACAGATAGTAAAACCTATCTATTAAGTAACCTTTGACTTTCTTCTCTGTAAGATTCAGGCAAGCCTAGCTTCGTAGACCACACAGTAACTGCAATGGTGCCAGCGTACGAGGTCGAAGAGCTAGAGCTATAGCAAGTTTGAAGAGAGACATATGTTTTCAAGTTATGGTGACACAGCGTAATATAAGTTGAATGTATCCCCATACTTAGGGTTATAACGTTCCGACGTAAGGGCTTATACATGAACATCAACTTATTATCATATAAGTATACCTTAGATCATCGCTATCTCTGTGAGGAGAAATCCATATGTAAGGGAGAATATTAGTAGATGTGCTAATGGTTCTGAAATGGAGCATCATAGCAATCATCTATCGATCTAAGCTTCATCCCTTCAAAACTATTCGCGACCTTTTTATGACTAAAGTTTCCCTCTTCATCTTAGATGATATCAACAACTAGAGACGTGAGGAAAACTTGTAAATCAAGACAACTAGCTATATCATCATAGAAAGTTTTGCTTTGAAAGTCATTAGGTTAAGCCATGCACGAAATCAAGTGTATTGATATTGGAATAGGAGAACGTAGGGGCAATCATTATGTGACCAAGGTTCCAGATGGTATTTACATACGTAAAGTAGATATATACCTAGGTACCTAAGGTGATGTTGCTCTTCAGGTTCTAAACCTCGGGATAAATCTTTCGCTCCTGTCTACCTACTTAGGTTCCTGTTTTATTAAATCCAGGTCGCTGCAACATTCCGGCTAGAATATTGATCCCAACATAGATCAAATATTATATGAATGTCTCCACACCTAAGATAGCATGCTTTAAATGGATATCAATAAGATAGATAGCAAGTGTAGACAAACCCTGGTAGATTTCATCCTAGTCTCACAATCTTCCACATCCGCAGACATTCCTGCAAATCCAACGACAGCGTGCCCTCATGTGCCGTGGAGGTATCCTTGACCAGAGCAACTAGCAGACTAGCCAAGGCAAATACCACTTGATCGTCGCGCAATGCTTCTAAATCGGACCTCCTCATGCCGCCGTTATCTGCCCATGATTTCCACAGATCGAGCATCTTGCAGATCGACGAGGCGAATTGGCCATCGAGGATCATCCGATGTAGTACCGAGCCCACCACGTCCCTGAGTGTTAGGTTGGCGCTGATGTTAACATCACTGGCGATCGCACACTCCTGGTTCTGCTTGAGCCAGTGCAGATTATGCTCGGCTACAAGCTTCGTGTCCCACTTTGGGCTTTGCAGGGCCTCGGAGGTACGCACTTCGCGACGCTGGTTCTCAAGCCTTGAACGGTCGCGCACTGTTAACGAGTAAGATAAGCATCGCCTTTAACTATCCTAAGCTGTTATGATTACTTACTATCTTGCAATCTCTGGTTCATCTCCCTCTGCATCCGCTCTCCGGCAGCAATTTCCCTCTCAGGAGGGGTCATCTTCGATTCCGCCATGACGGCGGCACGCTGGTCGGCACTGCGTCTAAAGAATAGATCTCGAGCTTCTTCTTGTCCGTTATAGTTGGTAGCCCACTCAGGTGTCTGCGACTCGTCCACAACGCCCAGGAGTACAAGTATACCGCAGGGTAGACTGTCCCGCCGGGCAAAGGCGAGGATTTCATCGGGGATTTTGTAGTTCCATAGCACGGTTTGACTCGTAGTCCCATAAGCTGTCGCAACGCTCGAAAACCAAATACCATCGGTCTTGCCAGGGCGGATCCGAAGGTGTTCAATATAAAGATTTTGTAGATTTATAGACGATATTACGGCTTCATCCTGACTCTTCGCAGAGATTAGGCCTTCAACAGATATCTGGCATGTTATGGTTGTTCTAGAGTTTTTCTCAGCTTGCCTCTGAATCGAGTCGAGAGATTCTTTGTGTAAGCTACTATGCCCTTTCTCCCGGGCCTTTTCTATATCACCTTCTTCATCCCCTCCCTGAGCTGAAGAAGGCGTTTCTTCGGGACCAACAGCTCCGGTAATCTCGGATGGTTCTGGCGGAGGCGGTGGTGGAAGTCTTATCCAATAAGGGGGTAAAGAAGAGAAATCCCGAGTTGTCCAATGCGATGACCAATTCGCCTTAAGAGATAGATGTCCATCGGAATCGTCCAGAGGAGCGATGGTCAAAGCCTCATGCTGCCCATCAGGTGACTTCATCAACGAGCAACCCATGGGAGTCCATAGTCCCGTCGAGCGCAATAGTTTCCAGCCGTGCGCATCAGGGATGGCACCTAGATCGAGCAAATATGCGATAAGTTTGTCAAAGGCTACGTCGACCTGTGGCTGTCGAAGTTGGTCCGCGTATTCCACCCGCTGAGTCTTAGCTCCGATAGCGCGAGTCTGCCAGTTGAAAGTAGTCCACGATCCGCCGGGGATAGAGCTAGGTTGCCGAGAAGGCCTCCAGTATAGCTCCGTCTCTTCAAAGCGATCACATGGCGTGACGGCATATCGCGGTAGTTCCACCTCGATTACTCGATTCACCACATCGCTGCGTGTTAATGCTGTTAAGCGACCGTGTCTAAGCATGCGCTTAATCTTAGATAGGGCGGCTAGCGTCGCGACGGTGTTGTATAAGATAGGCAATACACCAAGGACGGCTAAGGGAATACCAATAAACGTGATGATGTCAACGGCCGAGTAGCCTGAGCCTGTCGAAGACATTTTGGCGCCCTTTCTGATGAATGGAATAAGAAGGATTTGCTCATAAATAACAAATATACCCAGAAAAGAGAATATAATGAATTTTCTATCATATTGTGCCAACTGGGGTCAAGTTCAGCCCCAGCTGAGCTGAAAGCTAGTATGCTCTGGGCTTGATGCATATATTACGACGCGAACCGTGCTATTCCTCTTACATGTGATTGGATTTTATCACATTATAGGCATTATAGGCTATGAGATATCTACTCGAAAATGAATCCTAACTGATCGACATTTTCTCATACTGACTTATAAGAAGTCTTTTGGACCTAAAAACTCGAATGACTTTAACTAAGCATTTATACCCCTTTTCACTAGGGGTTGCATAAATGAAGTATTATTTATATACCTATGTACCTATGCAATGCCATCGAGTAATCGGGGGATATCTAATGCAAGGTACCCGACGCTATGTATGTACCTAGGTACCTAAGGTAGCGTGATATGGGGCTTAGATCGATTTACGGGTCCGCTTCAATCTCCACATGATCCCACAGGAGCCCACAATCGCAAACTTGCCCACTTCAATCTTCATTTGTATTGTACCATACCTTAGGTACCTCATATATCAGTTCACACCTTGAATTTTAAGACATTAACCTGGCTATAACTTCTTACCCGACTACCTATTTGCCTTTTATTGCTAATTTTGCCTCGTTTTGGTTCTCGTAACCTTCCATCCTATATTCTTCGGCCTGGAAGCCAATTGCGACCAAGAATGACGACCGTCAGACGGTGATAATGCGATTGAACTGCGCCAATGCAGTTCTAGTTGCTGCTATAAAACTATTTCGCCTCGTCAATGGCCAATTTCCAAATTACACGTCCCAAGACCTGAATCTTACAACTATTTCCTCGCCGATCGACCCTAATATCAAGATCAGCTATAAAGTACCTCATGGAGCCTGTAACACCGCATTCGAGTCGCAAACGCAGTATACTGGCTGGGTGAGCCTCCCGGGTGATTTCCCTACTAATACTTTCTTTTGGTTCGTTGGGGCGCGGGACAAGCAAGCCAACTCCAGCTTAACCATCTGGCTCAATGGCGGCCCGGGGTCGAGTTCTATGTTCGGTTTCTTTACAGAGAACGGCCCTTGCGAGGTAGTTGATAATGGCACCGACAAGTTCACCACTATAGCCCGGGAATGGGGTTGGGATAGGGCGTCGAATATGTTATTTATAGACCAGCCCAACCAGGTTGGGTTTTCCTATGATGTCCCTACGAAAGGTTCTATCGACTTGCTCACCAACGAAATCTATATCCCGCCTGACAAGAGACCGGATTCGCTACCGCCGAACGCATATCTAGACGGCACATTCAGTTCTATGAATGCCAACCATACGGCTAACACAACCGAGACAGCAGCTATCGCCATATGGCATATGCTCCAGGGGTTTTTAGGGGCTTTCCCGGAATTGAACCCTCCAAAGGACAACATCTTAGGCGTGAATCTATTTTCGGAAAGCTACGGAGGGAAGTACGGCCCCGCGTTTGCGCAGAAATGGAAACAGATGAACACCGTTCGAGGCAACGGGACTGTTTCAAACAGCACATCGGTAGAGATTCGCCTTGTCTCACTTGGTATTGTAAACGGCTGTGTCGACGACCTGATCCAAGCACCGTATTATCCCACCATGGCAATTAACAATCCCTACGGTTTTCCTGCCATCAACTCCGTTAGAGCGAAAATGGCCAATGCTAGCTTCTACACCGACGGTGGATGTCGCGATCTGATCAATCAATGTCGGGCCGCAGTTGCCAGCAAAGACCCGAATAATAGCGGTTCGGTCTCAGACGTGAACTACATCTGCGAGTCCGCTTACAATAACTGCACCAACAACGTCATGCTGCCTTACTCGGATGCCGGTCGTAGCCTCTATGATATCGCAGTGCCTTTACCCGATTCATTCCCTCCTCGGCGATATCTAGAGTACGTGAACACGCCAATCTTCCAAAAGGCCATCGGCACGCGCCTTAATTACACGGAGACAAATAGCCAGGTTGCCGCAGCCTTCGCTTCCACTGGGGACTACGAGCGCGAGGCAATGGTACCCAAGCTAGCCTCACTCCTCAACGCAGGTGTTCGCGTAGGCTTGATATACGGCGACCGAGATTATATTTGCAACTGGCTGGGCGGCGAGGCAGTATCCCTGGCGCTCGCCTCGTCCGTAACAGGCTATGAATCAGCCTTCGCGTCCGCTGGATACGCGCCTATCATCGTCAACGACAGCTACGTCGGCGGCGCAGTGCGACAGTTCGGCAATCTCTCATTCAGCCGCGTGTACCAAGCAGGTCACTCCGTACCAGCTTATCAGCCAGCCACGGCTTTCGAGATATTCGCGCGGGTCATCCGTGGCGACAGCGTGTCCACGGGAGAAAACATCGACCTTTCTACCTATAACACCACGGGCTCCACCGAGGCCAACAGCGCTCTCGATCTCCCCGCTGCCCCGTCACCAACCTGCTGGCTTCGCGACGTGCCTGGTAGTTGTGATGAAGAGCAGCGGAGCGCTATTTTAAACGGTGATGGTTTCGTTGTCAATGGCATTGTACAAACAGGCCCAACGGTGACGACACCGCCAGCCTCTGCTGTCGCCGATCCCTCGACAACTACAACTCAACTCACCGGCTTGTTTACGGCTACTGCAACGCCATCGAGTGTAGCCATGTCAAGGGTGGGGCCTAGTATTGACTTGGGGTTAGTTGTCGGCGGCGGCGTTGTTATTGCCATACTGGTTGGTTCATAAAATTAACTCGCCTTATACAGTACTTTGCACAGCATATTTATTTATTATTGGAATCTTCCACCTTGGCCCGAATCATTATACTAGATACCCATACCCGAGCAATGAATTCTTGATGTTAAAATAATCTATTAAGCTTCGTCGGCGTAGCTAACATGGTTTAAAATCAAACAAGAGATCATATCATACGCATATGGCTTACCTCTTATCAAAGTTGACTGTCTACCGCATTTGAATATTTAGTGATAATTTTAATATATAGACGGCATAACCCAATTCCTCCATCTACTTGCAACGCTTTTAAATGTTCACTTTGTATAGATAAAAGAGCAATACTTCATCAACTTTTAATATTACTATTAACTATTCTGATTACACGTTTGGTGGAAATCATATATATGATGTGTTCCTCTACACTATGCCAGCTTTCTGAACAATCTGGGACAGCTAAAGAAATCGAACACTGCTCTATATCACTTACCTGTTGATACTCACAGTATATTAGCCGAAGCGGCAATATGCCCGCATATTATTTATCAGAGCATTAGCTAGCACTAGAGAATCGGTTAGCTTGATTCTAAATGGCGGGTAAACAATAAAGTTTGAAATCCTATATCAGATCCACAGCCTTGTCAAAGGCAATATCATCAATGCTGTCGAGCTATGTTGACCGTCGTGAAATTATTGGTTCATCATTATAGGGTTTGTAGTAATAAGAAATCTAACCTCTTACCTTTATTAGCCAAGCATAAGACAAAAAGGCCACTCCGAGCAGCATTCAGTAGATACTATCACTTCAACAAGTTAGCCCAGAGCAATGCTTGAGTGAGAGTGAAAAAATTCCATCTGCTGCAGTCAGACATGACCGGAGTCATCAACGCCGTAAAGCTCTGACATATGCTTGTCAATTGTTTTAGTCGGATCATCATATTGCAGCAGTATGTCGTCTTTTAAGTTTTGAGAGTGTACTAACCGAAGCTGTAGGACTGGAGACATTGCACCTGTAACTGAAAGTCAGAATGTGTTGACTATACAATAAATGATAATAGCGATACAAAAACAAGAGTTCAGAAAATGCATGAATGGTAGTAATTAGGTTGTCTACAACGGTAACCCGAATCAGACTCGTCATCTGTGCTCATCAGGTAGGGTGTTTTTGATATGCCGAAAGAAAAATATTGTTCACCTTGGCAGTAAATATCACGAAGTTAAAGTTTGTGTTCGTTGCCGTAAGACAATGATAACCAATATTCCCAGTTGGCCATCGAATACTAAGTCGTAGAACGGATATTGATAGAGGAATACTGTTTCGGAGATCCCATATTAGCCGACATGCTCGGTGCGAGATTGGATCGGCTGAAATGAGGGTATAGTGATCAGTGGGCTAGGTTTTCTAGGCCTGCCACAAATGGCGTATCGACTCATGTAATAATAATTCGGAGCCCAGTGCCGCTTCATCATTTAAGGATATAATATCGAGTTGAAAATTTGCATACCATTTGGCGATCAGTCAATCGAACCAACTGTACGCGATATTAGTAACCATGTAAAAGTCAGGGTTCGCGAAATCGAGATGGAGGAAATATATATCAGACAACAGCCAGTTTTTTTCGTCAAGAGCATAAGCTTCGGACGGTAATTTCCAGCTATGCGAATGCATAGAAGAATCATCATTTTGGTAATGTGGAGGACAGTGTAAAGAAGGAAGCTTACCTGTGAGGCTTTGTTCGAGCTCAATCGTGACAGACCCAATCTATACCGTGAGAGAGGGTGAATTACCTGGGATCGCGTTAGCACAATGAAACTCCAGATGGGTTCATGAAAAAATTGAGATCCAAATCTATCCTCAGACTGACGTGTAAAAACAGTTTCATTCCCGTAGGTCAAAGACTCTAGTTTGCGGTTTACAACTTGTCATCAATGAAAGATGAATAGAAGGGATTTCTGTGTACTTACATTTTAATCCTGGAAATATCATCTGGGTGATGTTGTTAGGAAGGAAGAGTTGACGATGGTTGGAGGAAGGAAAAAATTATTTCTAGCTTCCAAGCTTCAAACTAAGTGGGGCGTGCCTGGTGAAAGCGCGCCGGGACAGGGGAAATTAATAATCCGAGAAGATCGGATCAAACAAACCCCGTCCAAGTACCTGTAGAAATCCTGGAGCCGGAGCTACGTATGACCGATACCAAGAGCTGCCCCTCTTTCGGCCTTGGTGATCTTAGCTCTGAAAGCTCTCCCTGTTCCCTACCCCTCATCTACATCATAGGGATGTCAATTTTTCTGTGTTACCTCACTATCTCAACTAACTCGGATTATTTCTGGGTACGTCTGGAAGCACGTACATAATGCAATACTTGTACTACCTCATTCCGCGGTCAAGGTCTTTCTACCTACATGTACATACCTTAGGTACCTAGGTACCTAGGAGGTAGCCTAGGTACATGTAGTAAATAACCGCCAGTAACGGAAACCTTACCGTGTCACATGGAAATATTCGAACGAATCAGAGGGGCTCATCTCAGCCCGGCAGCTCACGCCACGCGAATCAAAATAATAAATCAAAGTGCTGGCGTTTGGTGACGTTTAAGGGCCGAGCTTACCGGCATCTTCCGCATCTCCCGCCTCGGTATAATCGATGGCGGCTTAAACACCACGACCCGAAAAATCCTCTTTTTTAGAATCTACCCGGCTACACTATTGCCCAGTCCACATTTCCCCTTGGCCGGTGTATGGGGACTGGGGGGGCTCTGGGTCCTGGGGTCTAGAATGACTGCATGGCGGTCTGCCAGTCTGCTCGGGATGATGCCGTATGTCATCGTGCTGTTGTTACCCGCAGCACCGAGCAAACCAGTAACCAGTAACCAGTAACCAGTAACAATACATTGGAAATGAGAACAGTGTGAAGAATGACAAAGACGCATTAGATGCTTTATAAACTTCTAAGGTTCCTAATATCCCTCGGCATATATTTCTGAGCAACACCAAATTCTCGTTGAACCTTTCTCACGATAACTTGTCGGAGTCTAACCTATTAAATCATATCAAATCCTATCAAGTCCCATCCTCATCAACCCAGTTTCCCCATTACTCCAAGATTCTCTTCTCTCCATTCCTCCGTAATTGGTACCTACCTACCTACCTACCTGACTTACCCCAAGTAAATCCTATCAGGCCCCTTTTGTGCCTCCCTCTCTTCCTCCCTAACTACCTCTCACCCCTCGACTTAATTTTAGATCTTGCCAGCCTCTTTTAAGCATAATGGCGTCGAACAGTAACGGCAATGACGTGCCACCAGCCGAGACGGCTACTGTAAACACAAACATTGTGACATTAACTCGTTTCCTTACGGAAGAGCAGACCAAACACAAAGAGGCAACTGGAGATTTCACGTATATTCCCACCTTACCCAGGAACCAATAAATCAACTATTGCTAATTCAATATTCCATCAGATTATTATGCCATGCTCTGCAATTCTCCTTCAAGGCCATCTCCCATTATATTCGCCGAGCCACACTAGTAAACTTGACAGGCCTCGCCGGCCAATCCAATGCGACTGGCGACGACCAGAAGAAGCTTGACGTCATCGGAAATGACCTTTTCATAGCAGCTATGAAATCGTCGGGGAAGTGTGCATTGCTAGTATCGGAAGAGGAAGAAGAGGTAATCTACTTTAAAGATCAGACCGGAGCTCGGTACGCCGTAGCCTGCGATCCTATCGACGGAAGCTCCAACTTGGATGCTGGTGTCTCGGTTGGAACGATCTTCGGTGTTCACAAGTTAGCCGAAAGTTCCATGGGGACAAAGGAGGATATTCTGAAGCCCGGAACGGAACTTCTTGCTGCTGGATTCACCATGTACGGCGCGTCTGCCCAACTCGTCATCACAATGAAGGGCGGCACTGTCAACGGCTTCACGCTAGATAATTCCTTCGGCGAGTTCATCTTAACACACCCGGACATGCGAATCCCCAAGCAGAGAGCCATTTACTCCGTCAACGAGGGTAACTCTCTCTACTGGGAGGACCATACCAAGGAGTACTTCAACTCTCTCAAATATCCCCAGGATAGCGGAAAGCCCTATAGCGCTAGATATATTGGTAGTATGGTGGCTGACGCGTATCGAACGCTGCTGTACGGTGGTATCTTCGCTTACCCTGCCGATAAGAAGAGTCCTAAGGGTAAGCTGCGGATTCTATACGAATGCGCACCTATGGCTATGGTTTTTGAAAATGGTAAGTGGTGATGACTCTTGTGTCGTTTTCATACCTATACTGATTATTCCTTAGCCGGTGGCCAAGCCGTAGACAGCAAGATGAGACGTATGCTTGAAGTCGTCCCGGAACACATCCACGATCGATCGGGTATCTATTTGGGTAGTTACGACGAAGTCGAGAAGGTCAAGTCATTTTACAAGTGATTTAAATCAAATGGGCTGCTGTTGGATATTGGGCCTTTCAAACTGGTTTGGCGCTGAGGCAATGAGCATTAGAATATTGGGCGGTTCGTAATGAATACCAATCTAATTTACGATGAGGATATGATCCAAGAAATTATTCAAGTGGCACGCAAGTAACATTAAAAAAAACCAATCATATTACAAATATAATACATATATATTGTCATAACACCTTAGTATAACTTGGGGAAGAACTTGGGCGTATTTCGCTTCCACTCCTGATAGTCTTTACGATGGCCGTACTTGGCATCATACTTCTTCTCACTCAACGGCACGCCCGACACTTTCAACAGCAAAGAGGTTACAAACGCCGGGCTCACACACGATGCCGCCAAGACCAGGAGCTTGCCCATCAAACCACCTGAAAACCCAAGTCCAACCTGAACTGGACGTGCCACCAAGACACCAGCAGCTGTGATAGCTATACCCGTCCACAGCGTACATTCTCCCAAGTAATTTGGGTACTGGCTACTCGCTCATCAGCTTCTCACAACCCTTCACATCATAACTCCTTGCAGAAACACTTACCTCCGACTCCACAGACCCTTCGTCATGAACAACTCATCATGCAGTTTCTCCTTGCGGCGGCGCAGCCACTCACCCTTCTGCCGATCAGCAACGATCTCGAGCGCGAACCCGCCGGCAAACAGCGCCAAGCCCAAGACATCGGTTACCCGCAGCGGCACCGCAGCGAGCGCCGCGGGCGCGACCGCGTTGACGGCTACCACGGGCGCTAGACACAGCGATACCCACGTCGCCTGGCCGAACCAGGCGCCAGCGAACTTCCCCGGCGACCCCCGGAGCGTGTCGAAGCGGGAGTCGTGGCCTTGGTGGAGGACGCGGCCGAAGAGGTACGTGCCCACTATGGAGGGGTGTCTGTTAATAACGCAGCCCTCTCACGTAACATAGAACCTTGAATTATATCTATCTATCTGTCTAACATTGATGTCGTATATATACATTTATCAAGGTATAAAGGTAGGTAAAAGAACAGGATTACGCACATCTAACCGACCAAAAGACCACGGCGGCGCTCAGCGCTACCTGGCGCCAATGGAAGCCGGCGGTCGCGGTGGTAAGCGGACTTAACAGGCTTGGTAACGGCGGCTTCGGGGCACCGGCCAGCGATGCGGCGGCGCGCGCACGGAGGCTGGGAAGGTACAAGCTCAGCAGGGAGACGGTCAGGAACGTCGCGGAGCCGGAAACGTCGTAGAAACGCTCGCTTTGGGCGGCGATTGACGGGATTGCTACCGCTGTCTGCAACGCAAAGGCTGCTGCGACGCTGGGACCGACGGTGCGCAGGAAGGGGCTCCGGAAGTTGGTTAAGTGGAGGAATTTGTGTAGCATGCTTGATGCCATCGTGAAGATGGTCGGGTCAGGGGTATGAATTGGGGACCAGGTATGATAGACAGACATGACCCAGGTACCTAACTTTGATAAACGCTATATATACCTAGGTAGGTATTATTGCTTTAAAGAGTCAAATATGTCACGACTTTGTGGTGACGTAGATGGCATTCTCAGCCGTAGGAAAAGAGAATGCTTTGTCTATTGGGAGTCGGTGTGGCAGCCCCCACTCTTGAGTCTTGATCGTCTTGTTAAATGATTCTTATTGGGATCTTATGAGCCCCTAACCTAGGTCAGGGGACTTTTATTATTCTATTTTATCGTATCGATATTACCGCAACATGCTTTTAAACACCCGATGTCTTAGTCAAATCGTTAACACGATGGCTCCAGGTTTGGCCTTTACAGGCTAGATATTGAGGGTTAATTATAGCCTTCATCTTGAGTAGTGAGTGCTGATTGGCGGTCGCATATACATCTACGTATTCATCGGCTATGATGTGTATGAAGCGGTTATAACTTATAAGCCTATTTAACTCATATCGTATTACGGACTTATTAATCTATCAGTTTTAAGAATTGAGCTTCTAGATAGCTTCTACATTAAATCACGATATATTTATGTTTTACTCTCCACCCCAGACCTGTTCGCCATTCAACCACGTTTCCTTCACCGCAGCCCCAAGAAGCCTCTCCTTATCCCAGTCCATATCCCATATCGTAAAATCCGCCACCTTGCCCGGCTCTAGACTACCTAGCCGTTCATCCCAGAACACACTTCTAGCCGACCCATAACTCGCAGCAACTACGGACTCGCATACGCCGAGGCGGAAGTTGTAGTTGACCACATTCTCGTATTGCGTGTTTCTGTAAGACTTCCTCGTACTCGCAACGTACACGTTCCCCATGATATCCCACGGTGATGTCGGACTGTCGCTGCCGAGAGCGAGCGGTGCGCCGCCGTCTGAGAACTCCCGGTAAGGGAAAGCGCGCTCGCAGCGGTGACCTAGAAGATCTGGCCACGCCCGGAGGATCCATGGGTCAGCGTGTACAGGCTGGATCGAAGCGGTGCTGTAGATAGAGTAAGTAGGTATACAATCGACTATAAAACAATTGTAGATGAACTCGGGGGAAAACTAACATTTCAAATTCACCGAGGCGTTTGGCATCCCGGGCAGATGCGAGCTCGAGATGTTCCATACGGTGACGATTCTTCGGAGAGCACGTAGACAGGGCGTCAACAGCCATTGTGATAGCAGCGTCTCCGATAGCATGAAGCGCGACCTGCAAACCCGCGGCATCAGCTTTGCGCACAACCGCATTGAGTATCTCGGGATTCCAGAACGGCTCGCCGGTGATATGTTTCGTAGCGTCGGCTCCTTTCAGATAAGGCTCGGACATATAAGCGGTGCAGGCATCGATGATGCCGTCGCAGATGATCTTGATACCGACGACGTGGAGGTCTGGCGACTCATCGGCGCTGAGCTGCTTGTGCACCTCGATAGCCCGGTCAACCTGGGAAAGACAGTCGGCTTCCGAGCTTGAAGGAGCCATAAGCCAGTAAGCCGCAAGCCGGAATGGCAATGGTCGTTCTCGCTGTTCTTCGCGCATGTCGAGAAGAGTAGTCCATGCTTGTTCTTCCATTGCCATGTCTATTGCCCCGGTATAACCAGACTTGTTATATGTCTGCACTGCAGCCCGGATCCAGTCCTCGCGGTCGTTCTTAGTCGCAACTGAGGCAAGGAAAGGCCAAATAATAGTGAAGACAGCGGCCTCCTCGAAAGCTCCCGTAGGGTTTCCATCCGAATCACGTTCGATTTTGCCCCCTTCAGGATCTGCTAGATTATTCGCATCGATTTCCTTGAGAGCAGAGGTGCTACACCAGGTTGTGTGAAGGTCCTTAGAATCTACATAGATGGGCCGAGGGTCTAAGTCATCGACTAGACTTGCTAGCGGTTTTGACATATATCTCATCCATCCTTTACAGAGAATACGCGGCTCATTGGGATTTGCAACTGCGTAATCCCTGATAGCCTTGCGAATATCGTCCAAGTTCTCACAGTGGTCTAGCCCAACTTTGCTCAGTGATTGTCCTAGTCTTAGCAAGTGAATGTGACCATCAATAAAGCCCGGCAGAACAGTTCGACCATTTAGATTGTGTATGATAGCACCGGCAGCTCGGGACTGGGAAATAGCGTCATCCTCCTCCAAACCAACGTGCTCAATGACTCCGTCGCGTATGTAAATTGCATTCCCAAATTGAGGCTCCGTCTCGAGCCCCGGTTTCTTGGCGTGCAGGAACACTTTCCCGCCAACGAAAAGATGGCCTTTGGATTGTGCCATTGAGATAACCATTGGATGCTTTTCAAAGCGCAGATGAAATGTGACCAAGGGTATTGCTTAGAACTTAGAAATAAGTCAGAATCCTACCACCACAGGAATTATCAGTGTAGAGAGCCTCTTTCCGAGGCATTCGTAGAAAGGCGCCCCGCGTGATCCACCAATTCAGTTTAAGTCAGCTGGGGGTCAGCTAGAAAAGCTGTCCGATCCAGGAGCTTGGTAGTCTACCTAGTCCTTTAGCCCCTGCACGTCTATACATACGAAATATAGCGAGACGCCTAGAGTGTGTGTATAGTTGTATTATCCCTATTTTAAAGGCAGTGGATCCTATGGACATCATGTCCGTCTCGACCTTTCCACCAGGATCGTCAAAACTTAGACAATACGGCAGGTCCGAACGTGCAGAGAAGGTTTACCTGCAACCGCTAAGATGCCACAAAGTCTTTTCTTAGCTGCAGTGACCTGGGAAAGCCGGCTTTGCTTATAGTTGACTTGGGTAGCTTTCGCATCTACGGAGGCCATCCCCGAGTTAGTCAAGGCCGTTTCTTATTAATATACCTGACAATCCCCCCTTTTATACGCATCTTGGAGCAAGTCCTCAACCTGAAACTTCAGATGAAAGCCGATTTGCTTCGACGGTTGGGTTTGTAGCTGATGTTGTGGAAATGCCGTATATCATGAAGGGGAAGGCTAGCACACCAGCCGAAAATGCCCATGTATACGATCTAGAGCAGCGAGGGTTAATCGACGAGACATTGGTCAAATACTCAAAGGATTGGTTAAGCCGGCAAGTCAACGAGGCGAAGACACGGTTCTTCTTATACTATCCGTTGATACATCTGCATTTTCCTACACTGCTGCATCTCGACTTTGTAGGGAAGACAGACTATGGTGAATACAATTGTTCCGTTCTTTTTAGAATGTATCGCTCAGGGCTAGTCCGGGGTAATCCGGGACGGCTTGATTAGATAAGAGGACTATCTCCGCTAACACAGAAGCCAAATGGAGGAAGCAAACTCGCCTTCCTCGGCACCTATTTCGAGTTTTTCTCTATAATATGTAGTATCAGACGATCTTATATTGGCTATATTTCATATTGAGATTAAACTATATAGATGGAAATGAATTACGTGAGGCGCTTATCGTAAGAAACCGGCACCCTTTACCCCTTAACCCCCTAGCCCGAATACTAACACACTCTATAGATGCAAGCGTTGTCAACATAAAAAGGTGCTAAGATCCTAGTTTATTTTCTCTTTATGTATAATCTAGTATCTAAAAACATTTATAGTACTAAATAATATCATAATAGATTCACTGCTCGCGAACTCATCCACGTGGAAATTGCTCCGCGGTGAATGTGAGGGTTTTTTTCTCCCTACATATCTCGAAATCCGACCAATCAAAGGCCTTGAAGCAAAATTGTTCTATACTATAAAATCGATTTACTCAAATGGAACCATTCAAATTCATTATTATTCTTATTATTTTACATGATAAAAGCATTGTAATCGGTTTGATACATTCCGCGCTTATAAAATAGTTGTATATAATCACCAAGCTCCGCTATAGTACACAAGTTATTTTTAAGACCGAATTAGCAAAGGAGTTTGGCTCCATCTGTAGGAAACCGCTGCTACATCTCGATGATTTATGTAGATTAAGGCTTGTCTACTGTGGTGTTATAAGCTGTCTATAGTTAAGGTTGTTATTACAATCAAGAGAATTGTTAAGTAATATTCGATTGCCTACCTATATATAGATGACAAAGACGCTTAAAACCCACTCGAGATCCCACATTTCAATAAGTCTTTATCTCGCGTATGGGTTAAACATTCAAAGACTACCATATGTTTACATGGAGACCAAGTCCGAGAGCTAAGCTAAGTCGGAGCGATATCGGCCTAGGGAGAAATCAGGGGCATAAAGGGGTTAGTAACTATGGAAAGTCATATACATATATCCAGGAAAATAATTGTCACCTACATCTAATGTTATGACATAAATGAATCTGCTGGAATTTTACCTTGTAAAGGACTATATCCCATATTACCTAGAGTTTAGGGTCATGATAATGTGAGTTGCCATTCAGCATTATAAAGGTTCCATGCCAAGTTCACTAGCTTAACGGTTACAATGTTACTATTTACACCCTATATTCGTGAATATATAGATTTACTAATAACTGACAATCTTTCCGAAGAGATTATTTGATATCTATAATATAACATCTATATGGATCATGACGTCTCTATCTATTATGCCTTCTTTGAATGATCGCCATCCTTGATCAAACAAGATATAAACCTTCCAAATGGCCTACCTCAAATAAAGCCCTTAGGTGCTGACTACTTGACTGTGAAATCTACATTTGGTTCAATACGCGGTTTAGTGAGCAAAGACTACTCCAATGTTGCCTAGGTATTCCTCTCGCCGAAGCGTCTGTAGGCTCAAATTGATGGCTGCCCCTTACACTGAAGAACTCGGTCGATAATTTCGGCGCAACTAAGTTCGTATCCTCATGTCCACAGTGGTTTTACTAGACGCTGTTAATATACAGCTCAGATATCGTGGAGTTTCGGATCAATGATGCTATGTCAGAGGACTGTCTGTTGTTAAGTATATGAGTACCTGCAAAAGCTGCGGAAGACCCTACAAGGAGTAAGCTAGTAATCATTGTAGGGATTACTGATGGCGTGTTCCTAGTTAGTGGCACTACAGTCCATTACTAAAACCCCACGCCTTGGAATATCATAGCTCTGACCTACCTCTCATATTCGGGACGGGAGAAAGGGGGTAGGAGAGTGTTGATATCGAAGTAATCGATAAACCCTAAAGAAGAAGCAACGTTGTAGAAATTGTTTTGGCGTTCTAGGGAGGGGGGGGTTATACGACGTATTAAACGTCACTATAGACTTCTGATGCTAGGGGCATAGAAGACCCAGTATAAACTATCATGTCCTTCATTGAACTCTTCTCACACATTCACGAACAGAATACATGGCTTGCGTAATAGTAGACTAACC